ATTACCGTCACTTACATAATTAGATAAATCTGAGTGTTCAACTCCATAATTGGGGTTCAGGATCTTACAACCAATTTTAACAAGTATTTCTTTCATCTTGTCAGAAAGTTTTTCTGCATCGATCAATTTCGACTGTCTAGAGGTTCTGTACAGATGGCCAGAAGTAGTTGGCAAAATGGGCCAATCGCTAAACAATGATAGCTTCTCGCACTGATTCCGAAGATACTTCCAAAATAGCATAAACCATGTTGAAGTGGGGTGATTATGACAGCATTCTGGGTCCCATAATACTTTGCTTTTGTATTTCCAATCAGCAGGTACAAATCTTGGATAAAACTGAAGGAAGCACTGAATATTGAAAATAACAAGATTCGCCTTTGAGGACTTAGCAATAGCAGAGAGTCTACTTAGTACGTTGTTGGGAATGTTCTTGTCAATTACTCTATCATATAAATGTTGAAGTAGCATGTATTCTAAGTCATTGCAAACAAAGTAAGAAATTCCTTTGGAGGTATCTGACAATGATCCAAATTCACCATTTGCCAGTGGAAGCAAGGGCAGGTTATATGCATGCGTTCCAACATCAGCATCAAGCAAATCTTCAAGACAATATTCCAACAGTACAAGCTTGTGATATTTTCCCAGGGTAGAAACAGATCTACACTCTCTGGCAAAACAACGTACTGCATCAGGAGTAACCACCTTCTGCTGAAAACTGGAAGCATATTTCAAGAGCGTGTTAAATAGACCATTGTGCAAACACACAACAGGCATTCCTAGATCAATCAGGGCCTCGCTAAGTTCCTTAATCTTAGTAACTTCCTCATCATGTAGAAAAGCTTCAATTGGTGACACCCATTTTCCACCGTCAAGATCTGAATACAACACAGGAGCACTAGAAATGTTTCTGTATATATGCTCAACAAGAATATTCCACGGCTCTTCAAAAGAACCATTAGGCCATAAGGAATAGTACAAGTTCCTGGAATCTAGCAGTCCCCTTACACCAAGAAGAAGTTGCGTAAAAGCAGGTGCCACAACATCTTCTAAAAGAAGCCTGTTCCATACAGAACGGATTTTCCCGCTTCTGTCCATGTCAGCCCCATACCAAATGCCACGACGATTTGAAGAGACCTCAAAGTATCCATTAACTTGCACATTGAGGCCAGTCCTTACAGGCAGAGGGAGAAAGCAGAATGCACGACCAAGCTTGAGAGTCTGCACAAAATCACATTACACCAATAAAGTTCTACTAGATCTTATAAATAGGAAAGTAACTCAAATGCAACTAAATAGAGAAACCATGAAAGTATTAGAAATCACAAATTACATGTGCTGAATTATCGGATATGCAAGCTGCAACTGATCCCCATGGCAGCAAGTGAATATCATATTCCTTAGAAGCTTTAGCTGCAAAAGAACCAATCCTACTGGATGTGGATGCCAGCGTCTGCACTAAATAAAAACTATCTGTCTTCTTCTCAGATTGGGTCCCAATTGTTGCCTCACTTAAAAATTCTACTGAATAGCAGTCCACCTGACTCTCTGTAGAGTTTACCGACTTGGGAAATCTCAACGCTGCTTGCCGGTGCAAAACAATGTCATCACTGGCAGAACTGACCGAGCAGGAGTAAAGCTTCCTGGGCTCATAGTCCCGGTCTTCCCACACATACATTTCAACACGCATGACATTTTTAAGGAAAAGTAAGGTGAAAACTCCTTCCTCATAAAGCTGAACAAACAAGGAAGAAAGGTCGTCTTGGGAATACTCTTGCCTAGAAAGCTTACTGGTTGCCGCCTGGTCTGCATTCCTCAGAGGGAAACGGAATAGAGTTCCTGCAAATGGTGTTTTCATGTCGCAACCGAAAGCACAGTAAGGCAAGAACTGATCTTTGTACACAGAGATAGCTGAAGAAGAAACATAGTCAATCCGCTTTCCGGGATTGGATGCCGAAACCTTTGGCAGAAACATGCCTTGGGGATCAAACAACACCACATACTTCCCACTCACAAACGACGGCAAATCAGTTAAATGGTACACTGAGTTGAACCCAACCCTGAAAATTACACAGAAATTAAAGAAAATCAGAACCCTAAGTCTCAATTTCCCGCCAACAGCAAGCATTACACAGAAATTAAAGAAAATGGAAAAGAAATTACCCGAATCGGCCGGTTTTTGAGGCCTGGCCATGCTTGCTACTCCCGCCGATCCTCGAAATACTTACAAAGTCTTCCTCCGTGAAAACGGCATCGTTATAGGCCAGAAGCGCGGGGCCTTGCCACGGCGCCAAGGTCGCCGAAAGAAGGGAGTCGGTGCCGTGAAGCCTACGGTCGAGGCAGAGTCGGACGGAGGTAGCGCCGGCATCGTCGGCGTTCTGGATGAGCTCTTTGAGCACCGTCGTCCCCTCTGGGTAGTTCACTAAAACCTCGCGGATTCGCCGCGTCAGGTCAACCTTTTGACCGAAGTCTTCGAGAAAGATCGACTCCGGTGTCGACGCCGGAGACGCCATTCTGTATCTTGGTCTTCTCCGGCGAGCTTTGATCGTTGCTTATTTTTTATTTACTTATAACCACCGCCATGGAATTTGAGGTAATTACACAGGAGGACCGAGAGCAAGGAGGTGAGTGGATTTTCAATTGCGGGAGGGAGACTACGAGAAAATGAACGGGGAAATTTGGAGAGGTCGGAACACACCGACGCACACAGTGACGTGAAACGCAATGTAAGAACTCCGATTACTGTTTGTTTTCTTATTTGGGCCTTATAACCTTCTTATTGGGCCTCTTTTGCTATCAATTTATATGGAAGCCTGTTTCACGCAATCCGTAAGCCCAACAGCCCAAGGCCACATTAGGAAATCTCAGAATCCAAATTAGTTTATGAAACCTGAGGAAGCTCTTTTGTAACAAATTAGTTTTGGAATTGTTGTACACTTTCGTAATACGTGTCAACAATTTATTGAACGGGGATGCCATTAGGAGTATGTCTTGGTTGCAAGAAGGGATGCTCTATTATAACCAAACATACCACCATCTTTCAAGCATCTGTTAAACGAACGATCTACTTTTTCAAGACATGATAAACATCTATTGAACAAGTGTTTTCACTAAAACTATATCTTCGTTTTAGGCCTTATAACCGTCTTCTTTGGCCTCTTTTGCTATCAATATATACAGAAGCCCGTTTCATGTAGGCCATATCCCCAAGTCAACATCTAATGAAAATCTCAAAATTCAAATAAGTTAATTAAATTCGAGGAAACTCTTTTGTAACCGAAGAAAAATGCAAAACAATCGTTTTGAATATGTGTCAAATATGTATTGAATGGGTTATGTCACCAAGAGTATGTCTTGGTTGCAAAAGAGATATACTCTCTCGTAATCAAAAGTATCATATTGCTAACATATGTTGAACAAGTGATCCAATTTTTATAAATGACAAACATCTATTAAATAAGTGCTTTCACTAAAATTGTGTCTTTGTTACGAAAAATTTTCTCACATTGCTCGGAGAAGTTATCTCCAAATACAAGGATGTCATTCTTTTATGAATTTAATTGGTGCCGGCTTCTCTACACAAGAATCTCTCATCTTTTTGTCAACTAAAAAAAACAGAAAAAAGAAAGGGGTGGAGGGAGCTTCTACGTGCGCATGTAGTGTTTGGTGCACCAAAACAATGGAAAAGGATACTTTTATTGAGGATCTCATAATCATGATTGTTCATCGTACATTGTGCGGTCGGTTTTTGTTAGGTACTATTTATATTTAATTTTAAATTTTAAATTTTCAAATGATTTATGACTTGACGATGTATGATGAACGATCACGATCACGAGATTCCAGAAAAAGAATTCAGCGAGGATCCTTTTCCAAAACAAATGCACATTCAATCAAACTCGCATGTGATGAAAATTTTAAATTAAAGAGCTGGAGGACACAAAAAGCAGACAAAATCAGGATACCAAAATATGTCGGGCAGATTATACTACATTGAATAATGTCTCTTTTTTAATTTTATGAAAATTTATTAATTTCAATTTGCAATTTGCTCAGCAGTTGGATTAAAAATGTTGAGAAAAATATACTCTCACTCTCATCTTGAAAAAATCCAACTCCACTTATCTATTTCGTGTGGATTTTAATCAGTCAATATAACACTGTTAACACATGCAATTGTGTTGTGTTAAGATGAAGTCATCCAAGTAACACCTTCCATTTCATATGAAGTCAATATGGCGTTTTTAGAGGAAGAAGATTTATTTTGAGGATTTGAAAATGACATCTTAAGCTTTAAAAAGAAACTTTTTGGGACCAAATTGTCAAGATTTAAAAAGAGACATATCGGACCAAAACAACTTAAAAATGGCTCCAAAATGTCTCTTTTTAAAGCTTGACACGTCATCTTCAAATCCTCAAAAGAAACCTTCCTCTAAAAATGTTGTCTTCTTGACTGACAAAATGCCCAAAGCTATTTGTTAGTGGCATCTAAACTAATTAGCGATCTAATTTAAACTCGTACCAGTAGTCTAAATAAAAAATATTTTTAACCAACTTAGCTAATGCCAATCTCTTGAAAAAAAAACGCTGCTAGCTCAATGGTCGATGGAGTTGACCTAAACAAATATCAACGGTTGATGGACGATCCAGATGGCAGATAGATTTGTTAGCCAACACCAAGATATACTAACACCATACAGGTTGCGGCACCATATCCAATTATCCAAAGAGTTGAATTTGCACTCTTCAAACGTGCGCAATACAACGTGGGAAGCTCTACTCTAATTGCGTACCTGCAATTATATGTGTGTGTGTGTGTGTATTAATACGTATAAATAAATACATATATATACATACATATAATTATTTTATATATATATATATATAGATATATAGATATTGTCAATGACAACGTGATGGCTACTCCTGCAGAATGATTGCAGAATAGTTGGGACCTAAATTCTTCATCTTTGTTCTCTATTTTGTATATAAGGAGAATAGAAGTGCAGTACATGCATGCACAACTAGAGCTACCAAATAGTGTTAACCTCAACATCCCCTAAGCCACCGCGCCTGAGTGTGTCAGTAGTCATGACGAGGAACTGCAACCTTGCACCGTGCGTTTTGCTAGCCTTGCTACTACTCGGAATTCTCCACCTCGAATCAGCCACCGCGACAGACTTCACCTACGGCGAGGCCCTGGACAAGACCTTGATGTTTTTCGAGGCACAAAGGTCAGGTAAGTTGCCGGAAACTCAGCGTGTCAACTGGCGCGGCGACTCGGGACTCAAGGACGGCCTTGCTCAAGGGGTAAGATATCTATTTACATTAATCTTTTTACTATATGATCGATTAATTAATATATGGGACATGATTTTCTGTGCAGGTGAACTTGGTAGGAGGGTATTATGATGCTGGTGATCATGTGAAATTTGGACTGCCGATGGCGTTTACAGTGACAATGCTTTCATGGGGAGCTGTTGAATACAGAAAGGAAATTTCGGATTTAGCGCAACTGGGTCAAACCTTACGGGCCATCCGATGGGGCACTGACTACTTCATGAAAGCACATCCACAACCTAATGTTCTCTGGGGACAGGTATGTATTTTCACCTGTTTGGTCACCTATGCATGTATTTTTCTCTCTTGTGATACAAGTAATTAAGTTCCTATATATTGAACTGATATTGGTAAACCACCTAAAACTATTAATTTCGACAAAAGAAAATCAAAGACTTTGTTTAAGACTCCGTTTGATAACTATTTCGTTTTTCAGTTTTCAAAAGTTGAAAACTTAAACGAAATGATTATGAAAACTTAAGTGAAATGATTATCAAACCAACCCGATGTTTTCTAGTTTATCTGATTGCATGCAAATGTAAATTATTATCAGGTAGGAGATGGGGACTCGGATCACTATTGCTGGGAGCGTGCAGAAGACATGACAACTCCAAGAACTGCTTACAAGACTGACGAAAGCCATCCCGGTTCGGACCTTGCCGGAGAAACTGCAGCCGCCTTGGCATCGGCCGCCATAGCTTTCAAGCCTTACAACTCTTCCTACTCTGCTCTCCTCTTAGTTCATGCAAAACAGGTAAGTAATTTGTTTCGATCGGCTGAAAACAAATATCTTACCTTTTTTTCTTCCTGTTCTCAGCAATTAATGTGCAAAAATGTATTGTTTGCAGCTCTTCACATTTGCGGATAGATTCAGAGGTCTATATGACGAGTCCATTGGCACTGCTAAGAATTTCTACACTTCATCAGGCTATTCGGTAGGTGCATCCGACATGTATATATTAATTTTTCCCAACAAATTATCTTATTTTTCGTAATTAATATGTTTTTGTTTGTAATTAATTTGGTGAAGGATGAACTACTTTGGGCGGCGGCGTGGCTGTTCGAAGCGACGAACGATCAGTACTACCTCAAGTATGTGGTGGACAACGCCGTGTATATGGGCGGAACTGGATGGGCTGTCAAAGAATTCTCTTGGGATAACAAATATGCTGGTGTCCAAATCCTTCTCTCAAAGGTACCTAATTACGCTCATTTAGAGTTGCTTTTGCAGAAAACACTTATGCTCATAAACGTTTTCAATAGTGAAGTCCTTTTACTAAAAACATAATCAAAACTTTCTTACAAATCTAAGTGCCCCATAAAAAAAACACTTGAAAGTGCTTTGAGAGCGTCTTTTATCGTAAACATTTTTAGCAGTTTCAGAAACACTACCAAATATAGTGAGTCTCAAGAGTTTAAGCCATTTCATCATAACTTGCAGGTGTTGTTGGAGGGAAGAGGCGGTGCATACACTTCCACACTAAAGCAATATCAGGCCAAAGCAGATTACTTTGCATGTGCTTGTCTCCAGAAAAACGATGGCTACAATGTCCAGAAAACTCCTGGTAATTTAATTTATTAAGTCTTAATTCAAATACTAATCAAATAATTACTGTTTGATTAATCCAAATGTTTTGTTACTGTTAATTAACCAAATTAAATTAAAAATATACCAGGAGGACTATTGTACGTGAGGGAATGGAACAACTTGCAGTACGTGACGTCAGCAACATTTCTCCTAGCCGTCTACTCCGATTATCTCTCCGCCGCAAACGCCAAGCTAACTTGTCCCGACGGCCAAGCCCAACCCCAAGAGCTCCTCAACTTCGCCAAGTCACAGGCGGACTACATACTCGGCAAAAACCCCAATTCCATGAGCTACATAGTTGGGATTGGACAAAATTATCCAGTCCATGTCCACCACAGAGGCGCTTCAATGCCCTCTGTTTTTACTCTCCACTCTGCGGTCGAATGTGTGCAAGGTTTTGAGACGTGGTACCAGCGCCCCGAGGCAAACCCCAACGTCATCTACGGTGCCCTTGTGGGAGGCCCTGACCAGAATGACAACTTCTCCGACGACCGCTCTAGTTATGAACAGACCGAGCCTACGCTTTCCGGCACCGGTCCCCTTGTTGGCCTCTTGTCTAAGTTGCAGAGTTTGAATGGCATCCATCCAAGTTATAATAAAGGCACCCCAAACTCCCAGCCAACCATACCAAGAGAAGGTGCCAATGACCATGAAGAACAAAATCCAGTACAAGCTCCAGGTAACTAACTACTCATAGTTTGACATTTTACATTTTTGGTAACACGACAATGAGTTGTTATTTGCACTCTAGCAAAGTCATTGCGCACTCTTTTCACATAAAAATGATAACCGTTACTTAAACCACATTTAATGACCACGCTTTTTTAATAAAAGTGGAACTGACTTATCTCAGTCTAACACAAATATAGTATTTTAGAGTGTTAATAACAAGTTTTGTTACAATATTTTGCAGAGACCCCTATCAAACTGATTCACTCAATCGGCAACACATGGACGGTTGGGAAAACAACATATTATCGCCACAAGGTGGTACTGAAGAACACATCGCAGAAACCGATATCGGATGTGAAGCTGGAGATTGAAGATCTCAAAGGATCTGTGTGGGGTCTCATCCCAACACCAGAAAAGAACATCTACGAGCTTCCTCAATGGCACAAGGTCTTGCAGCCTGGCTCTGAGTGCATTTTCATTTACGTCCAAGGTGGTTCTCAGGCAAACGTTTCCATCGTAAGCTACCATTAACCTTGTTCCAACCAAGAACAAAACAAAAACGAGCTGCCGTCACATTCCAAACAACGGTTCTGATTATGATATTTGTAACATTAGGAAAAAAAAAAAAAAAACAACGTCCCTCGTGTAAAAGTTATGCATTTGGCCCAGGGTGATGAAATTTTAGGCAAAATTTTGATGTCAATATTATTTGTAAGCTGCAAGCAGCCCGCAAGCGAAAATCCTAATGTTATTCAAAATTTAATAAGACTAGTCATCTTGCAAGTTGCAACCAGCATCACGACTAAGCGGTGTGCTTCACATGTGATGTTAGACTCAAAGTTCGAGTTCGGATATCCAATTATTATGGCGATCTTATTGTGTAAAAATACCTATTTCAAAATACCATCTAGGAATCAAACAAAAGCACCAAGTTGGGCAAGGTAAATGTCCTTAAAAAGTGAGAACTTTTTACCTAATAGTACCAACGGAAGAACCTCAAAAGGTCCCAACAGGGCAACAACACTAGGACGCAACAGGGAAGTGCTGGCCAAAGGTCCAAAAATTGTATGTAATAAACTACTATATTAATGCTCAAAATTAATTCATGACATCTAAAATCCAAGAATTCAACTGTTTCACTCTTACGCTAAAGTTCATGTCGAAGAAAGGGTCAACCAGACATGAATCTGAAGATTTAAGATAACAAAAAAGTAAAATTAACAGCTAATACATAAGTCTCCACATTCTCTTTTACCCCGACTACTCAGTCGTCTACCAGTCGTCGAAGGTCGTCTTTTTTCCTGCAACAAAAGTACAAGATGAGAATCACAAAAATGGAACTTATTAAGATTTATTGAGAGCATTGCATCCACAACCTACACACTTCATTAAAAAAGAGAATAACGCTGCCAACCTGTTCCGCGAGCAGCTAGGTATATTTTCTTCCACGTCCTCTACCACGTCCACCATCTCTGCCGCCACGTCTACCTCTGAAACCACGTCCCCGATCCCCACCTCTGAAACCACGTCCCCGATCCCCACCTCTGCTAAAACGTCCTCCACCACGTCCTCTATCATTGCTCCTGGGAGTACCAAAATCACCTTTTGGTTTAGCCTCTTCCACCTTCAAATAACTGTCTCCAAATTCACTTCCATCAAGTCCTAGAGCTTTGGTGAAGCTGTCTGCGTCCGTGAAGTCCATGTAAGCCATTCTGCAGTTTATGAAGACAATTTATCAGTCTCAACACGTAAGGAAAATCAGGTAGAGTTATCAAAACAGTTGTATTTCATTGAGAGGCCAAATCGACCAAATTTTACCTTTCAGTTGTGCCAATTCTAACAAAAACTCACATTAACCCGAGGTAACTTTTACATTGACTCAAAACTCCCTAATAAATTCATGTTGAAAACCAAAAAATAATCCGTAAAAATCATCTAATACTAAGATAATAAGGCATATGTTAATTCCACAATGAAATAGTCACGCAAAAATACAAAACACGAACAATGACAATTTGAGATGAATCAAATGTCAAAGAAGGCACATAATGTGTAAAATAACAACCACCCAATCGAAAAAGAAAAACAAAGAGATAAAATCGCATATGTAGCAGGCTAGAAAAATACATAAAAAATCAGCAAAAGAAATTGTACAAACCCCTTAGAGGCGCCAGTCTCATAATCTTTGGGGATGGAGACCCTTGTTATCTCACCACAAGAACTAAAAACTTCTTGTAAGGAGCTCCTTATCTGTAAAATAAAACTAGTTACATTTGAACAAGAATATGAGCATCTGACCATTAATTAGACAACAGAGCTAGAATTCCTTGAGCAGTGTATACCTCATCCTCCCCAAGAGAGCTGTCAAAACCTCGAATAAATATTGTTTTGGAGGCACCACGTGGTCCCTTCTGATGTGAGTTGCTCTCACTCCTGAAATTATTATCAATAAAAGTAACAAAATTAATGGATGACAACACAAAAACAAAACAACAAATGTAGCAGATAGGAGTCCAAATGTACCCGGTAGGGGTATAAGCACCCTTTTCGCCCCTTTCACGAGCCAGATCAAGTCTGACATCACGACCAAGCAATTCTGAACCATTAAATTCAAGAGCCTGCAATAACAAATGCTTAATAGTTTAGCAACATAATAAAAAATGATTAACAGCAATACTACAGATTCCGAAGAAATGGTAAATGTCAAGAAATACCAAAAGAAAAGTCAAACCTTCTTTGCTTCTTCTGCTGTGGCAAACTCCACATGCCCAAAGCCCTTGAACTTCCCTTCAGGATCTGAGGCAAAACGGACATCAACAACTTCGCCAGCATCTTTGAAGAAATTCCTCCTGCATAAAATAAAACTATTAGATAAAAGAAACCTAAAACATAACACAAGCTTAGATCAAGGTATACACATACACATCATGTTCCTCGATACGGAAGTTCAGGTTTCCAACAAACAGCGTCTTAGAAGAAGTAACTGGGGTTTTGGGCTGCACAAACATTATTACAAGATTAGAACATTTATGATAGGCAAGCTGAAACATCACCTAAAACCAACTAATATCATGTACAACGCTAGCTCAATATTATTACCTGTTCATCATCCTCTTCTTTGTCGGAACTGACTTCCTCTTCTGAACCATCAGAGCCAGTATCCTCCATATCCTCATCAGAGTCTAGAGAGTCAATTGAATCCTCATCCTTTGTGGTACCCTGCAACAAAATAAATTTACTACATACTATCATCAAACCGCTTTAAAAACCTTGAAGTTTACAAGAAAACCAACATTTATCCTATCCACCAAAAAGAGAAACATTACAAGGGCTTTCTGGCTTCACATGTGACACTAGATAAAAACTACAGCATCAAACATTGCAGGGCTAACTAGTTTACTAGCTGCAACACATTCCAATTGGAATTTAAAAAGAATCAAACCTTCACTCCCTCTGAACTATCATCAGAGGAGCATGAAACATCCTTTCCTTAAGGGGTTACAGTAGATACTTTTTTTCACAACTTCCTAAACATGCTTAGAAAGATTAGGATTCAAAATAGTACTAAAATCCCAAATTCAAACAGTTCATCCTACAGTGTAATTTCTTCAGATGATACAAATATTTAAGCATGAGCACACACCTCATCTTCAGATCCAGAGCTGCTAGTGTCTGCCTTCTTAACAGCCACTGATGGACCCTTCTTAGCAGCTGCAGCAGGCTTTTGGCCAGTAACCTTTGCAGGGGTTTCCTACAAACACAAAAGTTGAGGATCACTATCAACCAAAGGGTACCTTTCCCAATCTAACAAAGAATAAAATACACAACATACTGTACCCCAAATATACAGATATGACCGACTCAATTTTCAGGTGCATGTCCCATATAATAACCCGTAGCAAAAAATCTACGGCACCAAGTTTGGAAAACCAAAAACTCACATCATCATCTTCCGATTCATCGCTACTCTCATCTGAGCTTTCGGTTGAGACTTCTTTCTTCTTTATAGCAGCAGCTAGACCATTCTGAGCAGCTACCTTAGATTTAGGAGCCTAGAACCAAGCAGTAACAAACACTTAAAAAAATGGCGAGTCTATGTCCAAATCACAAATCAAACACAATAAATCAACAGTAGTACATGTGCATCAGTAGTCTTATTAGGAACAAGTGTGTAGCGTAATAAACCTTCACGTCAGAGTCAGAAGACACATCGGACTCCTCCTCGGAACTACTAGTTTCCACTTTCTTCTTCTGAGTCTTTGCTTCCACTTTCTTCTTCTGAATGGCCTGCTCTACACCCTCATTAACCTTCTGCTTCTTTGCGCTCACAACCTTCTCTATTTCGTTCCCGGCTCCTCTCTTACCTTCTCAACACAACCACAACCAAAACAAACTCCATAACCGACATCCGAAACAAAAAAATATCGCAAAACAAACAAACAAACATGCAAAAAATTTAAGCTTCAAATTTTCTCAGAACATAACAAGTAAATCAAACTTAAAAAAAAAAAAAAAAAACTTCCCAAAACCTCGAGAAGAATCGATACCTTTCTTTCCAGACTTAGGAGCTGGAACAACTACAGCAGGAGCCTCAACCTGTACAGATAATCAAAACACAATCAGTAAGAAGAAATCATCGAAACAAAATCGAAGACTTGACGAAGCAAAAGCAGTTCGAAAGAAGCATACTTTGGTGGCGGATTTCTTGTTTGATTTGCCCATTTGGGAGGCCGCTCTCAAAAAACCTAGGGTTTAGGGTTGTAGGGTTTTGAGGAGAGCGGTGGGAGTGAGAGTAGAAAATAATCGATGCTCCCTCTATTATGTTTATATAAGCTGGAAACTGGTGTGAGGGGTTAGGGTTTAGGACAGGTACGCCGCGAGCGTTTGATATTTTTTTTTTTTTTTTTTAAAGCTTGTAAGCGTGTGTATCATGCTGTGCGTTTTAAGTTCTTAGAATCTGAACCGTACGATAAAAAGGCCTCCCTACGGCCTAAAATTGTCCAGAAATTTGGTTGGGCTTTTCGGAAAAGGATCCTTTTCCTAGTATACTATGATTTTCATCTATTCATCATATATCATATGATCAGTTTTCGTAAAGTACTATTTATATTTAATTTTAAATTTCAAAATGATTTCCCACCGCACGATATATGATAAACAAGTGAAATCACAGGATCCCTAGGAAAAGGATCCTCCAGACTTTTGCTCTGTTGTCTAGTAATTTATTACTTTTTTTCGAAAAATAAAATTCAAATGGTGCATAGCATTAAATAGTATGACAAATCAATTATTGAGATCGACAATGAAATATATAAACAGTTATGAAAATCAAATATAACGGCTTAAATACTCGTAACATGTAAAAAACAGTACGAAATTATTGGGAAATATCCAAGACTGATCAAGATTTTCTGGAAATATCCAAGCCATGGAAAATGGGGAAAATTGGCAAATATCCAAGACCCACCTTATGATCTCCTATTAATTTAACAAAAAACAATGGTGTTATTTTACAAGGCATGGAAAATTGAGAAAATTGGGGAAATTGGGGAAATTTTGCATATAAGGCTACAAAGATAGTACATCATTTGTTGGGGTTTCTCTCATCCGCCCAAAGAGGATGGAGAAAAGGGGTTCTGCCTTCTACTGTTACCCAAAGCCTCCAAATTTGGGCCTGTTTGATCTTCTTGCTTTCTTCTCCAAGAATGCCAGGATGAGCTTTTCATCTTCTTCTCCCTCAACGAATGGATGCCTGTATAGTAGGGCGTCTCCTTTCTCTCCGAAGAATATATTAAAGAAGAACAACCACCGTAAGATTAGTTTCAAAAACCAAATGGTGATTTTCTTCTGGTTCCACCTTCTCCATATTGTTCGTTCCATTTCCTAAGTTCGTTCATGCTTGAAGCATCATAGGAAACTGATGGCCCAACCTACATGACCAAGTTATAAAAAAGTAATTGATAGTTCAGCATAAGTATTGCCTGTAGTTATGTTCTGGAAAGGTAAAGATAAATGTTATCTTAAATCTTTACCTTGGCTTTTGATTGAATAAAATCATCTAAATTAAGAGGCCTCAACACTGTAGCTGCGTCACTTTTGATGTCCTGCACAACAAGTAACCAAACAACACCAACAGGCATACGGAAATCAGTACAAAACTTTACACACACTGCAAGTGAAGGCGAAGATATTCAGCAGGAAAATCGAAAATTAAGAAAATAGCAGCAAAACGTTATTCCTCCCAAGGCACCCAAAATAAGGATAAAAGCTCACACACTTTGACGGGCTCGTAAATGGAACCAACAGAAACTGACATTGACATTGCAAATAACAAATGCATACTACCTTCTTTTCTTCTTCTAAAAGCTCCTGGACAGGTCTATATGCAGCAGCAATACAGAGGTTCTTCAAATCACTGCCAGAATATCCCTCTGTTGCTTCTGAAAGTTTGTCAAATTGGAAACCAGGTGCTAGATTCTCTTGAGCAAGAAATATACTCAATATCTTCTTACGATTTTCAACATCAGGTAAGTCAACGTATATCCTACAAAACAACCAACATAAATCAGTCACCATTGTTTGAACTTTATTTTAGTTAATTTTTTGCCAATATGAGGAGCATCTACTATCAAAGAATAAGAAAGAATTGACAGACCCACGGTAACCAATCTGGAAAGACAGAGACAAACAATTGGCAAAACCATCGTAACCAACCAGGAAAATATTCTTATAAATAAACCACACCTTCTTGGTAACCGACGAATGACAGCATCATCAAGATCAAATGGCCGATTTGTGGCCCCAAGAATAAGGATTCTTTGACTGTCTTTGGACCTCAATCCATCCCAAGCTGCCATGAACTCATTTCTCATTCTTCTAGTTGCCTCATGCTCAAAAGAACCACCACGAGCACCAAGCAAACTATCAACCTACAACATAGAATATTTAACAGGATGATCAAATTCTGGGTTCAAAAAGAAACCAAAGGAACTAGTTTGTTGTACATCATTTTCTTTTAATTCCTCGAAATTGAAAACCTCACCTCGTCAACAAATATTATGACGGGAGCAAGCTTGCTAGCAAAGGAGAACAAAGCTTTGGTCAGCTTTTCAGCATCTCCAAACCACTGTATCAAAAAAAGTTACAAAGATAAGCATTTAACAGCAAAAGTAATCGTCATCCAGAGAAAAGATGGAACATATAAATAATCTTGACAAGGCAAAGTAGTTTGTTATTTAGTTTATGAAAATAAACTCACCACTACCAGATCTTGGATACTTGAAAGCATACCTTTGATGTTAGAGTAGAACCAGTTATGCTGATAAAGTTTGCCCCAGCTTCTGTTGCAAGTGCCTTGGCAAGAAGGGTCTTCCCAGTTCCAGGAGGCCCAAAAAGTAATATTCCTTTGCAAGGCTAAAAAGGTAGCTTCACATGATTAGACATTTGCTCAAGCATTAGTGCAAATAACGAACAAGATTAAAATAAATACCCGCAATAAGTTTCCATGAGAGAAAAGCTCCGGTCTCCTCATTGGAAGAATAACAAGTTCATTCAGCGCCCTCTTCACGTCCTCCAGAGCACCTACATCATCAAACCTAACACCAATTTCACCAGGAGGTACTACAGCTGAAACAAAGTTGCTCTCATATTCATCCTTTGCCATGTTCTGCAAAATTTTGTACATGCTAAAGGTGAAACAAGATACAAAAAAACTAAAATACGTAACATTTAGTACGAGAAAATTAATTACATGCCTTCAAATTTTGAGAAGGCTTCCGAGACAAAGTTTCTTGCTCCTTCAAGCGTGAAATTGCTATTTCAAGGCTTCATAAAGTAACAAGTGTTAAACGTCATGGTAACATAAAACTTTTAAATACTATATATGACAGATGCAACATGTACCTTTCACGTGGCAGATGCAATCTTTCACCTTTCACGTAAGGAAGAAGGCATGATGACAAGTAATGGTTTTTTGCCCAGCCAACTACTTTCTCAGCTTCTGGGAAAATAAACAAGTAAAACTATTAAATAACACATGATCACAAAATTCTAGGTTTCACATGAAACTGAGTCACTTTCAAAATTCTGGAATTGAAAATAAAACACAAACAAACTAGTTGTGACGTTCCAGGAATGCCCTACTCTAGATTCTTTATTGACTGGTGCAGATCCCTAGCATGATTCAAGATAGTGATATCCTCTTTTTTTGATACAGAACAAAAACTTTTTGTAAAGGTCAAAGTTAAAAAGGTTATCTGGGCCGTTGACTAGCAATTTACAAACTAAACGAAACTGAAAAATGTTCAAGACAAATATTCATATCTTTCGTACGGAATTCATTGCCGACATCCAAATTCATAATAATACATTTCGCTTTTCTATCCAGATCTCCCCTGCATATCTAACTTATAAACTTCAAAACCCCATATTCCAACAGAAATTTAGTATTTTTTCTGTTTCTTGACAAGTAAAAATGTTCAAGTTAGGGTTTCTTACTTCTCTTTGTCAAGATTACACCATTGGTATCTACTAGCAATAAGTCCATGCATGAGAGCTCATTTTCCTCAAGAACCTGCAGTAGCTCAAGATAATTCAATATGTCAAGGAGGTTTGAAGAACAAAAAGCCCCTGAAATAGACTAGTAGTAGCACAACTACATTGCACAGTTCTTCACCAACCACTCATGTGAATTTCACAACTAGAGCATACCTCATGTAATTCATTTAAATTGCTTCTTGCTATCACAATTCTTCCATCTTCTTCAATCTGTTTATTGAATATTCGAAGCTCCTCTTCCTCCTACAAAAGAAAAAAAGGAAGAGGAAAGAGAAAGAAGTGTGAAACCACAAAAAAGAAATAACTAATCCACATTTGTATCTGTGTGTATGCTTATACATGTAAAGTATGTAGACACAGTTGTCACACACGTTTATGCTGGAGGAAGAACAACATTTACCTTTGGCGGATATACGCAGAAAACATTTTTGAATAGCTTATATATTTCATTGTCATCTGATCTCTTTGTTCCTTTAAGTCCCTCTGTAAGACGCTTAAGAGAGAGAGGCTTGAAACAGAAATAAGCAATTTGTTAATTGAAGGAAAAAGTACACAACATAATTTTAGGGAAACAACAACTATCATCTAAGGAAAAACATGTAAATCTTCAAGGATGAAAACTATATCGAAACCCCAAAAGTAGAAAGAAAAAAAAAATTGATGAGCCAAGGATAAGAAAAATAACATTGATAATTTAAATGGTTAAATGTTTGTTCCAACAGATAACACATATTTATTCATTACTGTTTGTGCCAAGTACATTGTGCTCCTAAAGAATACAGAGGATTACCAGCTTTGCAAGACGCCCCAAATTTGGAAGTATCATTGTCTAGAGCAGAGTATTTGAAAAGGAAAAGTGTTAGTAATAAACTACAACTAGTTAGCCACTAATCAGAAGCAGGTAAGAAAACAAAACAGATAGATCCAACAAGAACGAATCCCTAACACTTACAAATTTCTCTTTCTCCTTTGATCCTGATTCAACCTTGTTCTGCCCGCATATCAAAACAACAGGACCTGATAACTCATCAAAAACTTCTTGCACCTTAGCGACAAACTCCTTGCGATCTGACTTAGGAACTGCCCTAGACATCCATTGAGAAGAGTCTGGAAAATATACAATAAGAGGTTGCTTGGCATGTAAGACCTGCAAGCAATGAAAATCCAGATACAGTTTACAGATGAACAACCTCATGCATCAGAAGACAAAGTTCTTATCTTTTGGTATTGTGTGCCACACCTCACATAAGGCCTCCAGTGCAAAATAACAATCCTCAGTCTGCGGGTCAGGAATATGTTCAATTTCCTTAGCTGTATGAAAGGGAAATCTGTCATTGTGTGACTAGAAGAATCATTACCAGAATTTTCACCAAAATCTTCAGATATATCAGACTAAAACTAAATCCAATTGTTAGTGAACCGAAAATACAATCTTTTTCACCCATAAGATTCATGCCATGATAATAAGCCACCTGCTATTCAATCCAATGCAGCCTTTTCTTTCAAATTCATCATCCAAAGTATCTGTCCTGATTACACTATTACTGGGATTTATTATCATTGATGAAACTCACAATTAAACAATAAAATCCAGGAATACAAAAAAATTAGGAGTACAAAAGCAAAAACAGAAAATGATAATATGAGCAGCCTGAGTATGAGTAATAACATTATGCAAGCCTAGAATTATAACCATTGAAAAATAAAGACCTACACTTGTATTAAATTGCTTAAATTAAATTGATCGTTTAATCTACAAGATAATGATGTCACACGTTGATCTGATAGACCATATGCATAATTAAATTACGTCAGTTTGCAAATTATAAAGCAAATTGTCTGCATATTGGTCATAACATTCACATGAACAACACAACTGAGCTTGTCTGTAAAAAAAAAATTGATGAAGTCTTAAGCAAACGAAATCACAGCATAAAGTAATCTCCCGAGTCTAGGAACAAAAATGAACAAAACATTAAAGAAATCCATATTACCATGTATCCAATAAACTGGTGGATCAGCAGGTTGCTCTGCATCTTTTTCCTCTTTATCCACTTCAGTTCCTGCCTTCTGTTTAACATCCAAAATAACAGCAACTCGATCTCCACTCACCTCATATACCTCCCCACGTTGACCCTTTGGTAAAGGCCTGCACAGATTTCAAATTCATCAGAAAAAGTAACAAGATTTCAGAATAATGGATGTACATCAACTGCAGACACGTATTAACTAACTATACTACTAGAACTACTACGAGTATTTTGAATTTTGTAATAGCAAAACAGAAGTGATACAGCAAGGAAAGAGACTACATGAAAAACAGTTGCATAGCTTCCAAAATCAGAACCTAGAAAATTATAGATAGTTACGTGTACGTACCACATAAAAGCAGCAAACACAAAAAGAAAATTCTACCATTAAGTGGGTTATGCAGGGCATAAACTGGTAGAGTCCAAAATATGTTATCGCAAAGTATATGACAAGTTGACAACTAACTTCTAGCAATGCACCCACATAACCTCTAAAAGGAATCGAAACAGTTGCGCTAAATCATGGTTGAAAACCACTAACATCTTTTTACTTAACCCAAATAACCCTCCATACTTAATGATTCTCTAGACCATGGAAGTACAAGGGTCGAACTTAGGTCCAAAGGAGAAAAAAGGTACACGAAAAAGCAAAGGCTTTCTTGAGAAAACCAAATGGAGAAATCTAATAATGTTCTACTGTATTTCTCCCCCCTACACATGACAACTTACCAACCCACCTGCTACGGAAGATGGTATAAGCATTCCTTGGACCATCAGTTGTTGATATCTTCCCCAATAGGACCCTGTATTGCATTATATATGTCAATGTCAGGTGAGGGCGAAGTCAGAGTTCATTTGGGGATGATATCATCCTAAAGGGTTTTGAAAGACAGACCACAGACCACAGAGACGATATTCTAGGCAGCATGCTTGTAAGTTTTCAAACAAGACCTTAAAAATCAGTGGTTCAACACTGTCTCATCCACAGATTCTGGCCAAAAATCCTAGGCCAGTATGAGAACAACTCATGGGAACTTAACTGAAAAATATGCTAGCTCATTAAATGCCCCCCAAGAAACAGAATTGAAAACATAAATATTTTTAGAGAATTGACAAAGTTGCATCAAAGACACAGAAAAAAATCCTTTGAAGCTCAGGATTGGTGCCAAATTAATTCTTCTAAGCTAATGCTGCAATATCAATTGTACACAATAAATCTGCCAAAAGCCCCTCACCTAGGTGCAAAAGGGATATGCCTAGCTAGAAGCCCCTGAAGGGACCTATAATTTCTTTTCGAATTCCGCAGGTTTCATTATCCAAAACAATGGAGAGAAAGTAGCATTCATGAACTTCAAAATACACCTTCACTTCATGAGTTCTCAAAATTTGAAAGTCATCTTTTTATCCAACACCATGAAAAAGAATTCCATAGTGCAGAAAATGTTTAAGATACTGTGAGATCTTATCAACATGAAATAGAGCAAACAAATGAAAGAAATCATTCAGGACCTGTTATCAGCTTCAACATGTATAGAAGGCCCGATATACTTCACTCGATCTCCTAAAAAAGATGAAGAAGCAAGAATATTGATTTCTAGAGGACGAACAAGAAAAAGTTCTCATAAAGAGATGAACATGACATTTGCACAAGAAAAAGTTCTCATATGGAACCTTTCTTTAGCGGTCGTTTGCATTTATCAGAAGACTCGGCAGTTTCTGATTTTGAGGATTCGGATGAACTCTCAGTTTCCCCAGATACCATCTGCCACATATGAACCATAGATCATACATCATGGTTCATAACAAGTATATAAAGAATCCCAAATTATCAATAAGATCACCATTTAATTTTCTGAATCACTGAAATATGCTTAGGGTAGGAGGACTGAGAATACAAAACCCTGATGCTCCAAAAAAACAAAGCAGACCTTTGCAAAGTCTTCAATAGGAACAAGCTTCTTGAGGGCTGCTTCAGCTCTGGCATGCACATCATCTTCATCTTTATCACTAGAATCTGATTTTGCCTCGTTACTACTAGTCCAATCTTCTTCGTTACTCGCAGCATTTTCATCCTCAATCTCTGAATCAGAAGTATTCTCCTCCACACCATCATCATCCGATTCAGATTCACAGTCGTCACCAAAATCCTACTCCAAATTTTAACAGTAATTAATTATTAAAACCATACCGTGTGAGTATAAGGAGAAGAGGGGGCAGGGTTTGACAATATAAAATATTATTTTTATTTCAATATTACATAAGGAGCAAGTACACTGCTGTCTAGCACCAAGAGGGGAACTTTGAGATCTTGTGTGAGTGCTCTAACTAATCTTTCACGATAAAGTTCAGTGCCTGCAGATAAACAAGGCAAATGGTAAGCTCATTCAGTTCTACGAAACAATGTCAACTATAAACCTCAGCCACTTGAATAACTTTAACAGGTAATGATTAGATTTGTGGGACCTGTGACCAACCTGGTGAACTCTGAAGCAGTATCCTTCCATTTGAAGATGTCAAACGAGAACCATAAGTTGAAGTAAACTTTTTATGCTTCAAATGGGAAGCAGCACATTCCACCAAAAGGTTTTTGGTAGGTTCACTATTAAAATGAAAAATAAATGTATAAATCTTCCGAGAAGTGATAAGAAAGAGATAAGAAAGAAGCAATCAAAAACATTAAAGAGAAGCAATTACTGAATGTAGTAGGGAAATGTATCCCATGACACAGTTAATTTCTCCCACGGAACAATCCTCCTCAAAAACTCATTTTTGAACTTCTCTCGTTTAGTTGAAAAAGGTGACTCTTTCTTTTTACTCTCAATGGTAATCTTTTGACTATTAAGCCACTCCTTTTGATCTTGTTCCCCAAGTAGAGCGTGTGCATCAAAATTCCTACCATCTTCCTTAGCCTTTTCTTGAGAAGTCCTCCCTTTATCAAGATCAGCATCACCTTTCACTGGTGTTTGATTATCCTCACTTGCATTACTTCCATCACCTTCAGAACTGTAGGCACGTAACTGGCTACCCTTCAAACATGGACTAGACCTTACATGCAAACCAGTGCAGCTATAACCAGGAGCAACACTACGCAACGTGAATGAATCAACGAGACGGCTTCTAATAAAACTACCATGAAAACAGTGGTTTCCCGAAACTGTACTATGACCTAAAGATTGCGAAGAACCATGAACAGTGTGGGTAGGCGTTGTTGAATATTTGGACATTTGAAGTACCCATCTCTGATTTTTACACTTTATTCTCCTTGCATGCATCATCACTTGTTATTTCCAAATTTTACCGTGCTGCAAAGTATGCTCCAATCAGTTTACAGTAGTAATTTTAAATTTGTGAGTGCATCAAAATTAAAATGTGCAGCATAAGAACCAAATATTGCATGAACTTTCTGGGACATTCAAACATTGTTGCATACTATAAAATATTCTTTCTAAAATTGTTTTCCTGGGAAACCAAGATTAAATCATGCCTGACAATATAATATCAACATTTAAACAATGATTTGCAAACTTTTCCAACCAGACGGCTCGCCTAAAACACATTCTTCCCAATCAAAGTTCTAATACATTATTTGCGTTTTCCATTTACCATACAGACGAACTGTATGACAATGCCGTATAACAGAGAAAATAGTTATATCCATCTGATATTTGCCAGGCTCTAAAATATAAATAATATGGAGCAAACTTGTCAATTTTAGATTACAGTGGCAGTGCCCGCCGGTGTACAATTAAATAGCATGAATTTCCGAAGACTTTGACCGTTGCATAAGCTTTCGTCCAACATTCGTGACATTCCAAATCGAAGTTTGCTTCAAGAAGCAAGCATCTGGGTAAGTTTTAGAGCTCCGAAAAGCGATTTCATGCTAACTGCTAAGTAACTAAAACAAACCAATCTTGGCAACCAAGGAGAAGTGAGCGACCCTTATTTATTTTTCAATGCGTAACGAAAAACAAACAAACAGGAAAACAAAAACATTTAATCACTTGAGAATCCATCAATTCCAGACAATGAGAGAGCGAGAGAGGTACCTTCTGTGAAAGGTCGGTTCAAACCCTAGGTTGGTCGGTGGCCATAAAGGGGAGCCAGACGCAGAGAGAGAGGCGGTAAAAGCGTAGGGGAAGCGAAAGATGGTACGAGGCGACCGTTTTAGAGAAAATGAGAAACAGAGGCTCAGATAAGATCTCTCTCTTTCTCTACCTTCTTCTCACTTGTCCTTCCTGGGCTGCCAACCCAGAACCAGGTTTATGAATATCGGTTTTTTTTTCTTTTTCTTTTTTGGATTTTTTTTTGGGGCAAGTCTAGGTTTGGTTATTTTGGTCTAGTGAAATTGGAAGGTTTTTCGTAGTTTGGGTTATGATCGTAGTCCCGCACTTGTATGGGTTTGGGTTTCTTGAGAGAAACTGCATGGGTCCAAATTTTGGTTCTTATCAACAATTTTTCCGGCCCAAACCAAAATTCGAGATTCAAATAGAAAATGCACTCATACGAGTTCGAATTCGACACTGCTATCAATCATTGGACAAAGATGTCTTATTTTTAGTTTGGTTTTTTGTCATGGTCCTTTGCAGCTCAGCAGTTTGGTTTTTTATATTTCAAACTCATCAATTTGGTTCCTATTTTAGCCGTCAAAATTGTTCTTGTTTCACTTTAAAAATTTTACGTAGTTGAAGGTGATTAAGTTGAATGGAGTTGTATACGTAGTAGTTAAATGCGGAGTCATGATTTTATTATTCAAAGATTCTACATCAAAAAAATTGTTTATCATCTTTATTAGTAAGACTTTTGCTTGGCTATGTTTCAAGAGGAAGGTCAACAATAAAGCACAGAACTAAACTGTATTAGTCCTTGGCCTTGCTATCTATTTTATGCATTTGTTTGTAATTGTCGAAAGGAATTAATTATATTCTACTTACATAAATAGCGTCGTGTCGATATGTTAATTTATCTTCAGAGCTTTTCATTAGCTACATATGTAGTATCATCGTACGAAATCATTTTGAACTCTTGTTGAATAAATTAATCACCCATCACCCGCTTCTCATTCATATTATGCTTGAGTTGGAAGCTGAAACCGAAAAAAGGGAGACGAAGAAAAAAAGTCTTAGTAAATTTCCCTTTTTATTACAGGTTGTTAACATTAAAATCGTAACGATTACACAATCGTTAGAGCAACAACCAATCAACCGAAAGCAGCAAATGTGCATGCCAACACGCATGCAACTAGAGAGACAAATTCATAGGGAGTTATTTGCAATTGACGGAGCTAATTTCCTCCGAATAGGATTCAATCTCACTTGGAAAGAATGGTGGTTTCAGCGATCATGGAAGTCACAACATACGGATCCATGTTCGACGCCGGCCTTCTGTCCTCGAAATAGCCTGATATTTGTAAAGAAATACGACATGTCCAGGTATCAGCTACACAGACACAAAAGAATTCATATTCTACAATGCATATACGAAAACATTCATACCTTTGCCAGCCTTCTCAGTATCGCGACCAATACGGACAGAGGCCCCTCGGTTTGCCACGCCCTGTGATTGAGAATGCATAGTTCAATCAATACTAAACTTGTTTTCACAGCTTAACTAAACATGATTTCAACAAAAGGCAAGAAATCTGGATTTTGATTAGCGGTTAAACCACGGTGGTGTAAGCTTACCCAAGAGAAAGTGTGGATGTCAGCGGTCTCATGGAGACCTGTCAATCTCCTCTCGTTGCCCTTTCCGTAGGCAGCAATATGCTCCTTGTGGCGCAGACTCAGTTTCTCGATTGCCTTCTTGATCACGTCAATTCCGCCATCGTTTCTCATTGACTTGGTACTGCATGGCATAGCAAGAGTTCATCACACTCTTCCCTTTTTTTTAACTAGAGGGTTGATTGCATCTAACACGATGGCAAAATTGCATTAATTCCAACTTCAGTTCGAGATTAATTTATCAGTACCTGTAGTTAGCGTGAGCACCAGCACCATTCCAATCACCCTGGTATAAATTGATCAAAAAGAAAAAATAAATTAAAAAATGGGGTTTTTGAACATTAATCCTTGCAAAAGATTAAAATTTAAAAAAAACCTGGTGCTAGATTAAATATTCAATTTAATCCCTTGAGTGTACTTTTATCAAAATTTACATTCAATTTTTGTTATTTAATGTGTATTTTTATTTAATCTCTCCATATTAAATTTTAATTTTATTAATATGCACATATTTAGTTTTTTTTAATTAGAAATGAATGTAAATGAGAAAATATTTAAAAAAAATTTGTGATACAAAAATATATAAATACATAAGTGTTCAGAAATGATTGTGCCAAAATATATAAAATTGACTTTTTTGTACCGAAATATTTGTACCTACATGATTGTACTGAAATATATTATAATGAACCTAAATGTATATACCGAAATGTATTATATTGAATTAATGTACCTAAATGTCAATACCGAAATGTATGTACCTAAATGTCAATACCGAAAATGTATGTACCTAAATATCAATACCAAAATGTATGTACCTAACTGTATTTACCGAAATATAATAATTGAATTAATGTACCTAAAAGTCGATACTCAAATGTGTGTACCAAAGTGTACGTAACAAAATACATTATATTGACTGAAATGCATTATATTGAATCAATGTAACTACATGTTTGTACCGATGGATATACCAAAATATTCAAATGTATTAACATACCTAAATAAAGAACATACAAAGTTATTGGAATATATATTATAAAAAAATTAGTTGCCTAAATGTAGACATTAAAATATATTATGATGAATGAAATAAAAATGAAATTTAAATGTAATTAATACATTAAAATAAAAGGATAAAATAAAACATCAAAATACAACTAATAAACGATATAATTAAATGTGCTAGGGACTAAAATTGGATTTTAATCTTACATATGGTTATAATCTAAAACTCATCTTTTTTAAGGATTAAAATGAAGTTTTCTATAAAAAAAATTTAAGCAACACAATACAACAGTAGAATAACAGTACGAAAATAAAGTGCTTGCGGTTAAACAGACCTGGATTGGTTTCGGGTCCAAAGAAAGAACAACTCCTGCAATTTCTGTAATTCTCTGTTCGTCAAGCAGATAATCATATTAACACGAGGCCTTCGAAAAATTAATGTACTATAGAGAAGAGAGTGAAAATACGCAAATTATACGTTTTCTTGTTATATCTTACGCATGAGCTTACCTCAAGGATGTATCTAGCAGCCCATAACTGATCACCAGCAGCAATACCAACAGTAGGACCAACTTGAAATTCCCACTGTTCCGCATCAGCAAACAGACCAAATTACAAAACGGTTTAATAACGTAAAAATTCACGATAATCAAATCATAGGTCAACTTTCGATCACTCAATTTTATTTCTTAGCAGCTTGCATACGTATATACCTGGCCGGGCATAACTTCAGCGTTGATACCGCTAATGTTGATTCCGGCATAGAGGCAAGCCTTGTAATGTGAATCCACAATATCACGACCGAAGGCCTTGTCTGCTCCGGCACCGCAGTAGTAGGGTCCCTACATATATTTAGATACAAGAAACATAACCTAACAGTTAATAATATGCAATCGGCACTCTAAAATTTTGTGTCGTCTTCTCTGATTAAGTAATTAGGCATGTTTAGGGAACAGTGATCGCGTTAATCATTTGCAAATGATTTGAGTACCTGTGGACCTGGGAACCCACCAATTGGCCATCCAAGAGGCCACTTAGTATCCTTTTGTAGAAGAGTGTACTCTTGCTCAATGCCGTACCTAATCATAAGAAATGTTCTCGGTAAGAAGCACCAACGCTTGGATGTGCGTTGAAGAATTTAACAAAAAAAACTTAACAAGTGAAATTTGCGACATAAAAATCAATGTATATTGTACATTGAAATATAGTAGGGCTCATAACAAAATAATAATAGACAGGCACCAATTTTTCACCAAATCTATTTATCAAATATGTCTTTGTACATGTTAATGATGCTGAAAATGAGTCCAAGCTTGAATAAGTAACCGAACGACACATTATATGGTGAATAAAACTTGATCCATTGTTCTCTAATGCAATTATTATATAAATACCCTGAAACATAAATTAATTCGTACATCAATAGTTGTATGGCCATAAAAACAAAGATATATATTAATATAATTTTTCAGTATATGACAATTATTTAGTACTAATCAAGAATATGGAAATAAGCAGAATTACTAGTTTATTTTTTAGATTATTGATGGCGTACGTACCAGGTTTCCTCGGCAACGACGTCCGGGTGACTGAATATCTTGGCAGCGTCGAATCTTTTGTTGGTGGGGATTGGCTCTCCCGCCGGTGTGTACGCATCGCAGATCACCTATCACAAGCGAAAGACAAAATTACCCCTTGACGATGTAACGTACACAATCCGGATAGATGTGGATGTCGATTGATGTTTACCAGGATGTTTTTTCCTCTTCTGAATGGATCCTTAAAAATAGCCTGGGGGCTGAACAAGCAAAAGTCCAAATCAGTTTTTTATTTATTTATTTTTTTAAATGGAAGGATTAGATTAAAGATTGCAGAAATGATTTTGATCGTGGCCGTTGATATTGTTACATACTGCAGGATGACTTCACTGTTATCTCCTGGGGCTTGGTCGGTGCTTGAACCGTCGTAGTTCCATTTGGGCAGTTTTGCTGGGTCTGTCACTGGTCCAGGCAGTGTCTGTTTTTATCCATAATTTCATATACATACGTGAACAGAACTTTAAATTTAAAGTAATTCGATGTTAGCTAGGAAACATGAAAATCGTAATAAAATTTGCTAAAATATTCGTAAATCAAATATTAATTGACGAAATAGTCAAAAACAACATATTTGAAAGAAATATTGGACGTGAAAAGTGATCATTTTGGCGAATTTTCCAAAACCGAAGAATGACGGGCTTATAGCTTGAGTAGTTAAGAACATTCAATCCTAGAGATGAGGTCTTAAGTTCGATGGAAGGCTTACCCTTGCTTTGCTTCTCAAGTCCAAACCAGATCCTCCAATCCTATAAGATAACAGAAGAACAAAGACAAGAGAACTTTAATGATCAATAATATTATGTAAATTAATGAGAGGAGGTGGGCATGCTATACCAAATGTATTCAGCGATGATCTTCTCAGTGGATTCGGAGAGATTGAGGTTGACGAGATCAGAGAGGAGAGACATGGTGACGTACGACGAGGAGGATGATTCTCTGAACAATGGCAAAAGAGAGGGAGAGAGAACAATGAGAGAGAGAACCAGAGAAAAATGGGGGTTTAGTTTTAAGTAAAAGATGTGACAAAGTCTACCACCTAATATATTAATTTATTTTCCAATAGAAAAGGGAGCGAAAATACGTGGAATTTCACTGGGGAGAAACGTACGGGGGTATACCGTATACCATGTTTTGGCTGGCCTCTCGCGCTTCACGTAGGTTTCTGAAACCGTCAGTTTCCCTATTTGCAGTCTCTTCTTGTCACCTAACCACCGCCACCGCCAATCCTTACCCTAACTTTTATCAGAACGCAGGCCTGTTGGGCCCATTCAATCAAAGGCACCGTTGCACTCCCAGCTGTGTCGAATTTGATCTCAGACTCCTAGCGCACCTCTCGAGCTCGTCTTCGTCTACTGGCGCGAAGAACGACGGAAATCAGGGCTGCGATGGCGCGAAGGTCGATGCTTCTTGGATCGACTTGTATTTTCCGAGGCAAGCTCGGCCTTATGCTAAGCTCGCTCGCCTCGACCGACCTGGTTGCTCGCTTGGCCTTGCATGCATGTGGTAAGTGATTTTTACTTTCAACTTTTTAATTCGGTTTCCGCAGTGCATTGTTTGGTAAAAATCACCGATAGCAATTTGGGTCAAGCCGAATTTACTTGTTTTGTTTTTTGGTACTAGCGATCTTCTATTTAAACTAATCTAATCAAACTCAGATGCATAAAGCCGACCACATTTACTTTGTTGAAAGTAACAGTGGCAACGGTAACTTTATTTGTTTAAGTTGAAGTTGTTTAAAGAAGCGTTGATCCAACTGTGGTGCTCCCATTGTACTTTTCCGGAGTATGCTGGACGCTTGTGTATGATACGATATATGCACATCAGGTACAACAAACTATTCTGGTCAGAATTTCTGGTTCCCAGATTTGATTGTGAAGAAAATATGGAATATGTAGGAATAAGATAACTTTTTAAATGTAACCAAACATTTGGAACATGCTTGCAGGACAAGGAAGATGATATGAAAGTAGGTGTTAAGTCTACAGCATTGAGATTTGCAGATTCAACTGAGGAGGGATTACTGGGTTTGGAATTATGTGCATGAGTAGTCTTGCACTCAGTGGATATACCGCTGAAATTGGTTTTCTTCTTTCTTCCTTTATTTTCATCTAAGAAAATTATAGCAATGGTCTCTCAATTTTATCCCAATTAGAGCAATGATTCCTCAACTAAAAATTCATGATCATTGATCTCTTAAATTAATCAAAACGTGCAGTTATGGTCCTTTTCAACAACTCAGTCAGAATCCCGTTTAAACCATTGCTACAATTTTTCTCATTTCATTTTTCATATTTGCCCCTTGATTCAGCCTTACGTGTGTGGCACATGATTCATTTTAACAGAAGCTTTAATGACGAAAATGATCATACATGCACGTTTTGATGAGTTTAAGCAATGTATTAAAAGGTGGAGGCTTAGGCGAGGCATTCCATGGATAACCCTACCTAAGCATGAGGCGTTACCTAAATAAAGTTAATATATATTGCATATATAATTATATATATATATAGTATAATACTTTGTAAAACAAATATAATTATAACTAAGCCAAAGATAATATCTTCTTCTTCATTACTAAGTGTAGTTGTACTTGAAAATTATGACATATAGTCTTAAAATGTTGTAATTATTTATTTTATTTTAAGCAATTATAGTGAACTTCAAGAGAAATAAGGCCGAGTAGCCACAATTATAGGGAGTTTGAAAGGAAATAAAGGCAGAATGTCGCAATTATAGGCAATTCAAAAGGAAATAAAGGCTAAGTGCAGCTATTATAGGGAATTTAAAATGAAATAAAGATCGAGTGAAGCAATTATTATAGGGAATTTAAAATAAATAATGGAGTGGAGTAGTTATAGGAAATTTTAAGAGAAGTAAATTTTGGCTAATTAAAATGCTAGGCGGCAAAATCTGAATGAGCAATAATTAATAAAAAATAAAAAAATAAAAAAGAATTAGAGTTAGACTTTGCCACTAGGATTTGGAGAGAGAAACTTTCTCTCTTTCTTCTTCCTTGAAACTAGAACGGCACACAGATGAATGACAAAAACAGATGAATGGCAGAAATAGACCTAGATTTGAAAGGAAAAAAGCACACAACTGAACGCTGGGTACGCCTTAGCCGCCTAGGCGCACCCTAACATTGCCTTATGCCTACCCCACAAAACAGAGGCGAAAATCCAGCAAGCTCGCCTCCAAGGGCGTCTAGGCGCGCCTCGATGTTAGTTTTTTAGAACACTAAATTTAAGAGACCAATGATCATGAATTTTTAATTAAGGAAGTATTGTTACAATTTCCTCTTTTCCTCTCTGTCCGCTTTTTTCTCCTTTATCATTGTTGGAACTTCAGTCTAATTTTTCTTTTCGTTTCTGCCACATCCTCACACCTAAATTGTCAAACTTTGGAGCAGGTGGGCCATATTATGCATTTTTGTCGGCTGCATCTAGACAATTAGCTTGGCAGATATGGACAGCTGACCTTTCATCCCGGGCTGATTGCAATAGAAAGTGCGTATCATCGTGGTATGATTTTGCTTTCAAATATTCATAGAGGTTAAATATGTGCATTGCATCCATATTATTTGTGGCTCTTGCGTATTTGTCCAATTAAAGATGAACAAAAAAGGGAAATGGAAGTTTGGGATTTACCGGTTGTGTGTCTTCGTTGTATGAAAAGAAAAATATTGTTTAGGTGTAAGAACTATTTACTTCGTTTTGCTTCCAGGATAACCGGTTGTTGAGCTTGCCTTTGTCTTGGTTCCAGATTTGTGTTGAACAAATGGTTTGGTGCCATTATTTTCAGCGGAATCCCATTTAGAAGACTTTCATCGCAGGGGTGAAGAATGTGTTTGCTCCCTAAATCCGTCATGGTGCCTTGCGGGCAAGTCGGAGATTTACTTCACATACGGGATTGGTGGGTGCGGGCGTGCCACTACTAGATGCCACTAGTAGACGGGATTTAAATGATTGAGGTTGCGCCTTTTGACTTCAAATCAAGAGATTGTGCCATTGAGTGGGAGTTACTCAAATTAAGGTTCTTTGTTTGCCTTAAAAATAAGGACTTTACTTATATGGAGAGATTGAACAATATGTAAATGACAAGGTTGCTTGGAAATATAAATGACAGAAGAAAATGACTAAAATTGTAGATTGCTTGTAATTTATATGGCTGGAAATGAGTACATAAAGGTTACAAATGAGATCGATACCGCAAGTGAGCAGCAGAGCTAATAAACTAGATAAAATAAGGCTTTTGGCAAATCTGGTTTGAGCAGAGTTTGTGCTTTTGTTTGTTTGTTTGAGTGTCCATAAACCTTGTGCATCTGCTCCTTTAAATAGAGATCTGGAGGAAACCCCCTGCTGAGGTTTTTGTACCTACCCGAAAGAAGCTTGTGCAGCTTGCATTTGCATTTGCCAACTTGCATGTAGAAACAATATTAAAAGGGAAACTTGCATCTCCACCACATGTTTTTAGCACATGTTTCTCCACTTGCAATAAAATAAATAAAAGAAGCAAACTAGCTTCTTTCACTACACATTCTTGCCTGAAAGCTCTCTCTATAGAAAGATAAAACTTCTTCAACAAGATTGTATTTCATTTCACAAATGTACAATTACACATAAGAGAATATATATAGCATTTTGCTCTTTACAAATATACCCTTGACTACCTTAACTGAATTTGTAACCATTCTAACTAACTACAGTTAATAACAAACCAACCACATTTAACTTTTGCTAAACGGTTTCATCAACAGAAATAGAAGATTTATTATCTTCCTTAATACACCCCCTCAAGCGAGAGGAGGAATCAGAGTTGATGCCAACGGGAAGCTTGGAACACAGGTATCGAAACTGATTTTTAGACAGGGATTTTGTATGAAGATCAGCAAGTTGATCAGCACTGCAAACAAACTGGACTTTGAGAAGATGAGCAAGAACCAGTTCGCGAATGTAATGATAATTAATCTCAACATGCTTAGTGCGAGCATGAAAAACAGGATTAGAGGCTAAAGAGATGGTGGAAATGTTATCACACCATAAGATAGGCAGTTTGGGGAGAGGACAATGAAGATCACGAAGGATTTTACAAACCCAAGTGAGTTCTGCAGCTGTATGAGCCAAAGACCTATATTCGGCTTCGGTAGAAGAACGGGCGACAGTACTTTGTTTCTTGGCACTCCAGCTGATGAGGTTGGGACCAAGAAAAACAAAGTAGCCACTGGTTGAGCGCCGATCAAAAGGGCTGCCAGCCCAATCAGCATCAGAATATGCTGAGAGATCAACAAGACCTGGTGTAAACCATAATCCCTGAGAGACAGAACCTTTTAGAAAGCGAACAACCCGTTTGGCAGCTTGAAAATGTTGTTCACGCGGAGCATGCATAAACTGGCAGAGCTGATTGACAGCAAAGGCAAGGTCTGGTCTAGTCCACGTGAGATACTGAAGGCCTCCAACAAGAGAACGATACTCGGTGGGGTTAGGGAGAAGAGAACCAGTGTGATCCAGTTTATTGGAGCCAAAAGGTGTGCAACAAGGTTTTGCACCTTGCATATTTGTCCGTTGAAGTTGGAGCCAAGAGGTGTGCAACAAGGTTTTGCACCTTGCATATTTGTCCGTTGAAGAAGATCAAGTAGATATTTAGTTTGATGAAGAAATATCCCTTTAGAAGATCGCTGAACTTCCAGCCCCAAGAAATAGTGTAAAGGACCAAGATCCTTCACTGGAAACCGATTACTAAGCTGATTAATGAATTGATGACAGAGATGAGAATCAGGGCCAGTTACGAGAATATCATCCACGTAAACAAGAACGATAACCAGCTTAGGATTATGAAGGACAAACAGAGATGCATCAGAAGAAGATTGATGGAAGCCAAGATCAAGCAGAGCTCGAAATAGTTTTTCAAACCAAGCTCTAGGGGCTTGCTTAAGACCATAAAGCGATTTTTGAAGTTTGCACACATGACTGGGGAAAATAGGATCAATAAAACCCGGGGGTTGAATCATGTAGACATCCTCTTTTAAATCACCATGAAGGAAGGCGTTGCTGATGTCTAACTGATTTAAAAACCAATTATGTTGAACAGCAAGACTAAGAAGGATTCGAATGGTAATCGGTTTAGCAACCGGACTGAAAGTCTCCTGGAAATCAATTCCCTGTTGTTGATGAAAGCCCTTGGCAACAAGCCGGGCCTTGTAACGATCCACAGTACCATCAGGTTTCTGCTTAACCCGAAATACCCACTTGCAGCCAACAATGTTCTGAGAGGAATTCGAATGAACTAATGACCAAGTGCATGTAGACAGTAAGGCATTATATTCATCCTGCATAACAGCACGCCAGTGAGGAAACTTAGATGCTTGGAGATAAGTACTGGGAACGGAATCCATGGCAACGGATAGATGATGCTTAGTGGCTGTATAAGCCTTAGGTTTGTAGATGCCGGCTTTGGATCGGGTAACCATAAGATGAATATTGACCATATAGGTAGAGACAGGTGGAGAAGCATCGGAATGCAGAGAAGTAGCTGGAGAAAGAGAAGTAGTTGGAGGTGGAGAAGCAGCAGTAGTAGAAGGAGCAGCATTAGGTGAAGAATCAGGAGATGGATACGCACCAGGATGAGTAATCGTGCGAAAATAAAGATCCATCGAAGAAGAAGACACGGGAGAAACATCGTCAGAGTGAGAAGATGTAAGCTGCAGAGACTGAAAAGGATAGACTGCTTCATTAAAGATTACGTGTCTGGAGATATAGACGCGGTTGTCAACCGGATCAAAGCACCGATAACCCTTGTGCTGAAGACTATAGCCCAAAAATACACAACTCTTGCTTTTAGCATCCAATTTACTGTGAACATAAGTTTTAAGCCAAGGGAAACATTGGCAACCAAAGACTTTGAGTTTGGAATAATCCGGGTGCTGATGAAATAAAATTTCCCAAGGAGATTGCAAGTGACCAGAAATAGGAAGACGATTAATGAGATACAAGGCAGTAGAGAAAGCCTCGACCCAAAATACATGAGGAACATGAGAAGCAACAAGTAAGGTTCGGGCAGTCTCAACAAGATGGCGATGTTTTCTCTCAGCACAGCCATTTTGTTCAGGCGTGTGTGGACAGCTTAATTGATGAAAAATACCATGCTCATTAAGAAAAGATGCAAAAGAATGACCAGTGAATTCACCCCCTGAATCGGAACGCAACACTTTGATTTTATTACCAAGCAAATTTTCTACATAATTCTTGAAAACAACAAACGTAGAAAATACATCCGACTTGGCCTTCAAAGGGAAAAACCAGCTGTATTTGCTAAAGTCATCAACAAGAAGTAAGTAATATCTGAAACCACTGCTAGATGGAACAGAAGCAGGTCCCCACAAATCACAGTCTAAAAGTTGAAGACTATGAGTAGTTGCTGAAGAGGACAGGCCAAAAGGAAGCTTGTGGTTCTTTGCCAATGCACAATCAGAGCAGAAAAAATCAACAGTAGATCGACCTTGGACGGCAAGAGTAGTAGTAGACATTACCCGACGAAAAATGGCAGAAGATGGATGACCCAATCGCCTGTGCCATACCTTTATTGGAGCTTTAATACTGACAAAGGCTGATGCAGCAAGGGAAGAAGAAGCTTTACCAGAAACGAAACTAGAAGATGTAGTAGACTGCAAAGGATAGAAGCCATCTTTAACGGAACCCCGCAAAAGCGTCTTCCCCGTGGAACGATCCTTAACAACGGAGCCATTGGAATCAAGAGTCAATGAACAATAATTGTCCCGGAGAAATTGAAAGGCAGACACCAAATTGTGTTGCATATGAGGAACATGAAGAACATTAGACAATGTAAAAGAAGAAGTAGGGGGTGCATAATGTAGATGAACCAACATGGGAAATAGGAAGACCTTTACCATCACCGATGTAAACTTTGTCTTCACCAGTGTAGGGGGTAGGAGATGTGATATTTGATATGTCATTAGTAATGTGCGAGGTTGCTCCTGAGTCAATTAACCAAGTAGGAGAGGACTTGACATCGGAACGGGCACACATTGCCTGAAGTTTAGCAGGGGGAATTCGACCACAGATATCAGGATTCATCCGGTCAAAGCAGTCAAACGCTTCATGACTGGAGTTACCACAAATCTGACAAGGAGCCCGATGACCAGAGGGAGAACCACGATTGGAAGAATTACCACGATGGAAACCACCAGTGAAAGAGTTACCACGATTAAAACCACCAGCAAAAGAATTACCACGATGAAAACCTCGATTACCACGATTTTGCTTCCCACGATTGGAATTGTAACGAAAAGAGTGCTGAAGGGGTTGATTCTGAGCAACATACACCTGTGGAGGAGTGGGAAAAAGTGGATGTTGAGCCTGAATCGATAAGGCATGAAATGGTTCAGACATACCAGAAGAGACAACTTTCTTGCGACGATTCAGAGAAAGCTCTTTGGTAAGGAGCAAGCCATGGAGTTCATCCAAAGATGTAGACGATAACCTAAGCATGATTGAGTCGGTGAAAGATTCAAATTCATCAGGAAGACCAGCCAGAGTAGCAGCAATGAGATCGCGATCAGAAATTGAGGCTCCAGCAGCAGTGAGAGAATCGGAGATCTCTTTGAGTTCTTGCAAATAATCAGACATGGATCGAGAACCTTTCTGAACACTTTGAAGGCGAGAACGAAGCTGATGAACATGGGCATCAGAGATACCCCCAAATCGTTGTTCGAGCTTAAGCCACAGATCGCGAGAAGACGAAACACCAACCGTGACAGGAATTACCTCTTAAGACAACGTGGAATTAAACCAGATCAGAAGATTCTGATCTTTCTCATACCAAATTTCGAAAGCCAGATTAAGAGTACGATCAGGGAGAAGAGGAGCAGGACAGGGTTCGGTGCCATCGACGATACCAAGAAGACGATACCGTCGAAGAATCGGAGCAAACAGAGCACACCACGGTAGATAATTGGTCCTCTTGAGCTTGATTGGCACCATACTGCCAATATTTTGGATCGTGAGAGAGGAATACAAAGAGGAATTAGGGTTAGAAGAGGGATTGGAAACAGGCACCGACTCAGACGAAGTCGCCATGAAAACAGATCAAGATCAACACCACATAGAACAAATCGAGATACAGATTAGAAGATCAGAGCGGAAGAGAAGATCGGAGCGGAAGAGAAGAGGATCGAGAGGAGCCGTGAGGCGACTGGCGATGAGACCATATAGAAAGATAAAACTTCTTTAACAAGATTGTATTTCATTTCACAAATGTACAATTACACAGAAGATAATATATATAGCATTTTGCTCTTTACAAATATACCCTTGACTACCTTAACTGAATTTGTAACCATTCTAACTAACTACAGTTAATAACAAACCAACCACATTTAACTTTTGCTAAACGGTTTTTCATCAACAGAAATAGAAGATTTATTATCTTCCTTAATACTCTCATCCACTTGCAATACATGCATGTATCTTGATTAAACAAAGGCTTGACAAACCTCCACCACCCAAACAAATGGGAAAAACAATATTATAGTGCCAAAACCCCCCACTTGCAGCCAAATATCTTTCCAAGTTAGTTTTCTTGCATATTAATCCTTCAAATACCATATTTTACCCAAATTGCCCAAATAAGTAAAAATAGGTATATTTTGAGTGCAAACAGTGCCCCCCAAGTTTTACAAATTTGAGTAAAGTTTGTGAAACTTACGACTCCAATGCTGCCAGGATTAATGTCGAAGAAAGAGGCACGTCTACCTCTTCGGTCCTTCTGTCGTTGATAAACTTTGGCAAGAGGAGCAAGGCAATTGGTAGTGCAACTAGCATTGGAAAAAATGTTGTCTGACTTGTGCATCCTTCTTGTTGATATCAAAACACATGGGAGCATCTTCACTGGTTACATAGATAATAAACTGAAAAAATGCCCGAAGTCGGACAAACTGGAAAACAAAGAAAAAAGATGGAGAATAGAGAAATTTGGGCAACTTTTCTTTTTCTTTTGTCTTTTTCTGTTTGCCTCTTTTCATATAATATATAATATAATATAAATATATTATACATATACTAAAACCCCAAAACCGCAATACTGTTCAAGGACGGTTTGTGGACGAAAATGACTCTCAATTTGTTTGTTAAGCCAAATTTTTGCCATCTTTTTCACAGTGAAATGACTGCCTTGCCCTCGGAGTCCACGGGTTGATCCTCTTCTGTTTCGATTTCTTTGGATGCTTCGGTGCTCTTTCCTTTTTTCTTTATTGCAGTCGTCGTTCTCATCCATTTTGGGATTAGCTTTCTTTATCTCTCAAACCCTAAATTTTCTCCATTTTTGATCTCATCTCTGTCCGCTCGCGCCGATCAATCGGTTTGAAAAAATTTCCTCTCTGTCCCTGCTTGGCATCAAAAGTTAGCTTTGCTGTGGTGGGCCACGGTCTCAAACCCTAATTTTTCTACCTTTCTGATCTCATCTCTCTCTGCTCGCGCCGATCGGTTCGTTTGTAAAATTTCATCTCTGTGCCGTCGTTGTCACTGCTTGGTATCAAAAGTTGGGTTTGCTGTCTTCAGTTCCTTTTTGGTGAGTTTGTGATTTCCTTACCGTCTGCAGTTAATTTTTTTTTTCCTTCTATATGTTTACATGGGTTTTGTCTGTCAATTTTTCTTCTTTTCTGGTTATCGTTTGGATCGATGGTGTGAATGTGTTCTTTGATTTTGTTTTTTATTTCAGAAGGTGTGGCTGTTCATTTTTTGACCCTTTGTTATCTGCTGTTGTAACATTTTTCATGATTTCTGGAATTTGGGTTTTAAACAATTGGAATACTGCTAGATTCTTATCATTATGTGCTAATTACTGGTGTTTTAGATTGGTGCCTGAGATTTAGAGAATGGCTCGCAGCTTTAATTTCTTTTTGCTTCATTTTTACTGTTTTCAATTTTTTTTATTGCTGGCTATTGATAATTTGAAGTCTGTGAGAGCTTCAATCTGTTGGAATTTTGGGTTATTTCTTCATCGGAATTTGGGTGGTCCAAAATTTGAATTAGAAGAAACCATTGGATTAATATTTTTGGTGGATTGGCTCTCTGTTATTTCTTACCCAGTTGGAAAGTGGAAGCCCCAAATTTGAGCTCAGAGCTTTAATTTCTCAATCATTCGTTTCTCTGCACTCTCATCAGTCACTCTTGATGCTCTCTCAGAGGAGCACTACATATTTAAAGGTGTTGCTGGTATGTGATTCCCACTCCATCACATCTCTTTTTTGCTTTTTAAATCTTACTGGGTAATTTTCAAACCTTTTATAGTAAATTTCCAGCTCTGTCAAGTAGTTCTCCATTTGATTCCATTTGATTGCTTAATTGACATTTTTTGTTTCTCTTTTTCACACTTTCATCAGTTCATTGGCTTTGATGTTGGGCTTAAGGAAATGGGAAATCATTAATTGGCATTGTTCAAGATATAATTCTGTTTTTTATTTATTTGTGAAACGATTTGGCTGATGAAGAGAGTAGTTTTTTGTATATAGATTACAGACATATGGGCTGAACTATCTTTCCTAATAAATTTCCCATCTGTTTCAGGTATAAAATTTTCTCATCTATTTGCAGACAAGTTTGGGTATGTTCTTACTTCTCGCAAAATGTTTTGTTTTTAGTAATTAGGCAGGCTTAATGTATATGACATTATTTTTGTTTTTGGCAGCAAATCACAAGTACAAAGGTGAGCCAATTATTCTCATGGTCTTCGTTTTTATAATTTTTTTCCTTGATTAATTAATTAATCTTAGTGAAGGTGTAATTATTGTGTAATTGTCTTTTTTTTCTTGATTCTATTCCTTTTATTTCTGTGATTTTAAGTGGTGGGAGGCTGTTGCATACTTTGCATGCAATAAGTATAAAATTTGATGTCTTTTTCTGAGCCTTCCCAACCGCCTCCCAAAAATATATAGATATATATATATATATATATATATATTATGAGTGGAAATGCTCAATCTTTTTGTTTACAAGGGATATCTCTGATTTCGGCTTGGGTATCAGGCCTTCTTAATTATATTTATTAATCTTTCCATTCATAGTGAAGCTTAATTTTCAACCTTTTTTGAGGTGGCCATGTGAACCATTCTGTATTCGTCTCTGCGTTCTCTCCTTTTAAGAAATTACATTTCCTTTCCCAACTTCAACCCAAACCATTAAGCAAACAAAGATATTCACGGAGGTAGTTGGTGGTTCAAAAACCAATTTCAGGCATTGATACTCCAACTCTGTATCAACATTTTTGCATTGCATAGGTTATTTTTTTGCAGTTGATAGTAACAAAAAATCTCTTTAGTTTACATGTGCTTTTCTATCATTGGTACTGGTCAATAATTTCTTTACTGCCCTACATATTTTGGTTTATTAGATTGGCCTTCATAAATTGAAGTACAAATGAACTCATTGCCCATTTACCCCTGCTATTATTTTTAATTTTTTATTAGTGGTTTAACCTTCTGTTTTAAATGCTTTAACTATGTTAAGGGTGGAAATCTGTACATGTTTCAAAAACCAATTTACTTAACAAATTTCTTTTATATCTTTTCTATCTTCCTCAATAAGTATTCTTTAACAAAACTAAAATCTTTCAGTTGTAACAACCGAATGAACCAGTTACATTTTCCTTTACTTTGCGACAATTTCAAACATGTATGTGTAATTTGATATGCATTGATGTAAACTGTAGTAATTGAAACCTTTTTCAGTTTTTAGTGTCTTTATGTATTTCAGTTTTTACTTTTCTGTGTATATATTATGTCTTTCATTCTTTCATTTAGTTTTCAAACTACAAGTGAGTATACTAGAAGACTATTATGAGTTCTTTAGCTGATTTGGGGCATATTTCTTTACTACGCTTAATTTCATTCGGAAACAAAGAGTGTTTATCATCACCAAGTGGTATAAAAAGTATTTTTAATTATTTTTAATCAATCTATTGCCAAGTTTCCCAACGGGTTTCTTATTTTATTTTCCATTAGTTTGCAAGAAACCAAAGTCTTTCCATGCTCGACAGTTATGCGTGCTCAAGAGTCAACCTGTTTTGTTTGATCATTCTGTTATAATATTCTATGTGGTTGCAAGTTTGAAAAAAAAAGGAGGATAGGTCTTTTCGTTTGTTGAGAAAAAGGGGAAATGTAGGGAGACAGATCAATTGTGAACAAATTAGCATGGTTCATCCTAATGCTTATGGTTAGGTTGCTGATTTGCTTCCTCATTTCTTCATTGGTGATTTATGTTTTCAGTGATTTTCCATTCTTGGGTAATAATTATTTGTCAAGAGTTAATGTGTTTAGTTTTTTTTTTTTCCTGTTCGGTGTGATTTTGTGTCATGTGATTAGAGGTTCCGAAAGAGAAACATGACTTTTTTTTTATTTGGACAGAGGTGGGGGGGGGGGGGGCGAGGAAGTTCTGTTCAAATTTGGTTTTTCCGATGGCTTAGGAAGAAATTATGTCACTATTGATATTGCAGGTGTCCAGCTTGCAGAAATTACAAGGTATGCTACAATCTATACTTCTTTATTAGATTTGATTCAAATTGATAGATTTCGATGAGAAAGAAACTTTTATCTTTTCTTTCAGTTAAGGACAGTTGGGACTTCAATTTGTAAAAGATGTGAAATATTAGAACAATGACAATAGAACCGCCAATCCATATGGTTGTAAATAGATTTCAACATATATTTAAATAGTATTGCATATCGTATGCATTTAGAACTTTCCGCATGTTTCTACAGTTTTGAAACCCGCAGCATCGCGTGGGCACCGTTGCTAGTATATATGTATATATCCATAGCCCTTTCGGGCAACCCAAAACAAAAGAGACGGGAAGAAAGAGAAAGGAAGAAAAAGAAAGAAAGAAATAAGGAGAGAGAAAGAAATAATAAAAAAGTAAAAAGAAATAAAAAAAGAAAGAGAGAGACAATGAGACAAGATTGACAAGGAGAAAAAGAAAGAGAGAAAAATAATAGAAAAAGAAAAGGAAGAGCCCTTTTGGGCAGCTTATAACAGAAAAAAGCCCATTCGGGCAAATTAAAAAGCAAACCAGATATATATATATATATATAAAAAGCCAGTTTTCGGGCAAAGAACATAATATAATATATTATAACATAATATAATAATAAATATATAGATATATATAAATAATAAAAAATTAAGCCCACACTCGGGCAAAGTATATATAAAATATAATATATATTATAATACTATATATATATAGCCCACACGGGCAAAGATTTTTATAAATAATATATAAATATATATATAAACCCCTTTCGGGCATAGTGGAGTTTTTTAGAAAATGAAGGGAATGAGAGAAATAAATTAGAAAAGGAAAGAGGGAGAAACAAAACGAGCCTTATTCGAGCACATTTGATGAAACTCCTTCATTGCCCATATGTTATTTTTCTCTCAACACTCAAATCTTTTTCTCTTTTTAAAATTGAGTGTAGAGATATCAAATTCACCATTTAAATTGGTCATGCTATGTAGCTTGGGAACCATAGGAGGTGGTCATTCATGTTTGATCCCAAACTTTGCCCTCCTTGAGATCTTGATGCGGACAACATGCTCGTGTTGGCGGGGAAGAGTGTAGGAGCTATTTTCTTCTTCTTTGGGTTCCACATGAGGTGTGGGCTCGTGCCCCCCGAGCGTTGGTGTTTGGCCTACAATAGCCACAAGCTCCATCTTAGCCGTTATCGGTTTTGATATGTCGGCTTGGTCTTCTACAACCATATCTATTTTCATAGATTTTTCATTGGGTGGGGCCATAGTTTGGCCTTCATCAACGTGTATGATATGTTCTTCCTTGGTTATAGTACGGTGAGTGTGCTTTGTAGAGGGGATTTAACACATTTGATCTATCAACTTTCTCAAAGTTTCTCCAAAAGTTGTATAGCTTTCCTCCACCCTTTTAAAACACTTAGTCACCTCTTCACCATACTCGATGCTTGCCACATGGAGTTTGGACACCTTATCTAATCTGCCCACATCCTCTTTGTAGAGCTTTTTATCCGGATGATCATGAGTTGACATCTCATAAATTGACTCTATGTACTCATTGGAAGCATTTTGATACTCAAAGCCATTTGTTAGCCTATCATAGTACTCATGAATGTGATTGTCTTCAAAAGAATAATAACCTTCATCATAGCCATAAGTTGGCCAATCTTCAAGATTATTATTTATTTGATGGCCATGAGTTGGCCGACAATCATATTCCATGGGACTTGAGTGTCCTTCAGCCATGTACCCATAAGTTGGTAACTCATAGGTTGACTCTATGTGATAGTCATAGCTTGAGCGCTCTTCCACACCGTCATCCTAAAAAAAAGCAAAAAAATCATGAACATAAAGATTGTTCATGATCTAACTTCATATAAGTGTCCCACCGGGCGTGCCAAAATATGTTCGCTCCCTAAATCCGCCATGACGCCTTGCGGGCAAGCCGAGGATTTACTTCACATACGGGATTTGTGGGTGCGGGCGTGCCACTACTAGATGCCGCTAGTAGACGGGATTTGAATGATTGAGGTTGCGCCTTTTGACTTCAAATCAAGAGATTGTGCCATTGAGTGGGAGTTACTCAAATTAAGGTTATTTGTTTGCCTTAAAAATAAGGACTTTACTTATATGGAGAGATAGAACAATATGTAAATGACAAGGTTGCTTGGAAATATAAATGACAGAGGAAAATGACTAAAATTGCAGATTGCTTGTAATTTATATGGCTGGAAATGAGTACATAAAGGTTACAAATGAGATCGATACTGCAAGTGAGCAGCAGAGATAATAAACTAGCTAAAAGAAGGCTTTTGGCAAATCTGGTTTGAGCAGATTTTGTGCTTTTGTTTGTTTGTTTGAGTGTCCATAAACCTTGTGCATCTGCTCCTTTAAATAGAGATATGGAGGAAACCCCCTGCTGAGGTTTTTGTACCTGCCCGAAAGAAGCTTGGGCAACTTGCATTTGCCAACTTGCATGTAGAAACAATATTAAAAGGGAAACTTGCATCTCCACCACATGTTTTTAGCACATGTTTCTCCACTTGCAATAAAATAAATAAAAGAAGCAAACTAGCTTCTTTCACTACACATTCTTGCCCGAAAGCTCTCCCATCCACTTGCAATACATGCATGTATCTTGATTAAACAAAGGTTTGACAAACCTCCACCACCCAAACAAATGGGAAAAACAATATTATAGTGCCAAAACCCCCCACTTGCAGCCAAATATCTTTCCAAGTTAGTTTTCTTGCATATTAATCCTTCAAATACCATATTTTACCCAAATTACCCAAATAAGTAAAAATGGGTATATTTTGAGTGCAAACAGAATAGTTGGATGCAACCTTTGGGGAACTACAGTTAGTTCTAATATGGGCCTCTTTTACAAACACATGTCTACATCTTTGGGACTCCAACAGAACTGCCTGCTGATATCTCCGAAGTTTAAGTGATTTATGGCGAGCTGCTTGTTAAGCTTGCAAGAAAGTTCCCGGATCGAGTAAGTGGAGGCTGCGAGATTATGCACGTCGTCGTCTATGCACCATTCCAGGTCTCAACGGCAAGCTATTTGCTACTGGCAGTCAATGCGTTTGCAACTAATGTTGTAATATCTATTTCCTACGTGGCAATTTTGTTGTAACATGATTTTTTTTTCGTACATAATTGTAAGATCGCATTACCGAATTAAATATTGATTTGTTTCCGTATGACTTCTGCGGAGACTTTTTTTTACCTGCGGCTGCGGGTCATAAAAACTGTACTCTCAATTTTGTATGCGAATCTGAAAAGGAATGAACTTCTCAGACAATCTTTCTTTCTCCCATTTACTAATTCTTTTATTTTATTTTTCACTCTTCGAGTTATTAATATTAATTGCAGTGCATCCAAGACATGTGCGTATCACGTGGGTGGTGAGGGCGGTTCTAGAAAGTCCTTAATCGTTCGTTCGCCTGGAATATTATCCAACCATTTTAGCGGCGCTAAATTGCTGAATTCCACCCGCTCGTGTGAACACACTAGTAGTACCAAACAAGAAAAAACATCCAACTCGCCCACCACCACCAGCTGCTGTGCCGCAAATCCTTTTCCGTGTCCAATGAAAATTCTCCGATTTTGAAAATTTTAAAATTGACTAATAAAATTCTCGTCAATATTTTGGCGCCAGCTGTAATCTTTTCCTAAGAGGATTCCTACCCAAAAGTCTTTTAGAGTGGCTATGATACCATCGCCTCATATTTTTAATTAATTTACGAATAAATTAATAACTCTAGGAGATATATTAATTTGGAATAAGTTTTAAAATTATTGAAAGTGTTTTGAGTTCGAGAAACAATTTAAATATTTTTTAAGATTCAGTTGTATTTTTTACGGATTGATTTCAAAAGAACTCTCATAAAAAAATATTTTTGGGTTGTTTCAAAATAACTTTTAAAATAGCCTATATTGTGGTCGTCGCAATATTCTCTAATATGCTTAAACTTAATTATTAATATCATTTGTAAATTGTAATATTTAGAATATTGGAATCCATAGTAAAGTGACCTCGGATTATACCAGATTCTTTTTTAATCATTTTAAATTTATTTTTAAACGAGCGGTCGTCACACTCAGATTATCTAATATGCTTAAACCTAATTAGTAATATCATTTGTAAATCGTAATATTTGGAATATTGGAATCCTGAGTGAAAGTGACCCCCGATTATGGCGGATTCTCTCAAATTCCAATAAACAAAAAGTCAAATCCAAAGGCTCATGCCATCTATATTTTCTCTCTCAAACCTCTCACTCTCAGACTCTGGACAGCCTTGTATGTATATGTAGCTGTTATGCTTGGAAGCTACCGTCCTTTCAAATACCCTCTAAAAAAATAATAAATAATTAAATTTTAATTTGGGTAATCTGAATACGATTCCGGATTCTGTTTCCCGGGTCCCAACCCCACTCCGAATCCTAGCTGGCTCAGATTTTCTACTCTCATATATATATATATATATATAGGCCTCCACGGTCTCGTGCACAGAAAAAATTGAATCGAATCGAATCGAATCGAATCATGGAGAGAAGCCTTAGCAAGGGCAGTGATAACCAGAGTGACGACTTGGATGCCAAGAAAGGCACTGCCGGAAAGACCAAAAAGAAGTTGAATGTTGAGGAGGCGTTCAAGGCCACGGCGGTGCCGCCGTGGACCAAGCAGATTACGGTGAGGTCGATGGTCACCAGCTTCATTCTCAGCATCGTCTTCAACTTCATCGTCTGCAAGTTGAACCTCACCACTGGTGTTATTCCCTCGCTCAACGTCGCCGCCGGACTGCTCGGCTTCGCCGTGGTGAAAGGCTACACCGCCATGATCGACAAGTGCGGCTTCTTGAAGCAGCCTTTCACTCGCCAGGAAAACACCGTCATTCAGACTTGCGTCGTCGCCTCTTCCGGGATCGCCTTTAGCAGTATGTTCAATAATCCATTCTCTAATCAAATTTATCGCATTAAATCCGTTAATTAACTATTTCTCTTCGATCATTCATCTCTGCTCGTATCGATAACATAGATTACTGATGGAAGTTGTAGATCTGTCAAATATCATATATATTCTGGTTCTATAATTTGGCCTTGCATGCAAGAAAACAATATAATATTTGCATCACGGTCAGTTTACAAAGTGTTTGTGAAAAAGCCTCACAGTAAAAATTGAACAAATTTTCAGTTGGGATTAATGTCAAATATTTGTGTGTTCTAATAGCTGCTCTGCTTCATGATCCAGTAATTTTAATTTGTGTTATGATTAATTAGGTGGAACTGCAAGTTATTTACTGGGAATGAGTGCAAAGATTGCTGCGCAAGGAGATCTAGGCAACACCCCGATCAACATAAAGAAGCTTGATGTTGGATGGATGATTGGGTTTCTCTTCGCTGTCAGCTTCGTCGGGTTGTTTTCGATTATGCCCCTCAGGAAGGTAATTGGAAACCACTTCTTAATCCACACTTACGCATATAGACATGAAGATTTGTTCACTTAATTTGGTTTTGGTCTTCTTTTTTTTTTTTTAAACATCCAACAGATGATGATCCTGAAGTACAAGTTAACGTACCCGAGTGGAACTGCAACTGCATACCTCATCAACAGCTTTCACACACCCAAAGGAGCTAAGCTGGCAAAGTAAGAACCACATTGCCTTGATTTGTAGATTTGGATTTTGCGATTAAACGTAATCAATCTGCTAACTGTGTAAGAATATATTCTTATGAACGAATGCAGGAAACAGGTTGCTGTGCTCTTCAAAAGCTTCTGTTTCAGCTTTGCGTTTGCCTTCTTCCAGTGGTTTTTCGCTGCTGCTGACGGCTGCGGATTTTCCAGCTTCCCAACATTTGGTCTTAAAGCCTTTGCTAACAAGTATGTGTAGATTTCTTTCTCAACAAAATATCAATTTCCTTGTTTTTGTATCATTTTGTTGCCCTCATGGATGCCTCGATTTCACTAATAACTCGGATCATAAAACTTGCAGGTTTTACTTTGATTTTTCAGCGACTTATGTTGGCGTTGGCATGATCTGCCCTATCATGGTCAATGTATCTTTGCTTGTTGGAGCCATTATTTCATGGGGAATCATGTGGCCCTTGATTGAGACAAAGAAAGGTATCTGGTACAGCGCTAATCTATCCGCCAGCAGTCTCCACGGCATCCAAGGATACAGGGTATGTAACTAAAACTTCCTCTCCGCCATGTATAGCTTGTTTAATTTTCAATATCTTCACAAATATGTTTTTGAAAGTTGCAATATAATGTTGCTCATGAATTGATCTCTAATAATCTTTGAATGTTCTAAATTCATTGCAGGTTTTTATTGCTATAGCGATGATGCTTGGCGACGGTTTGTTCCATGTAGTCTACATGCTCTTCATGACCACAAAAAGTCTCGCGACACAAAGATCAGAGAAGAAACTTGAGTCGTCTTCATCACCACCTGTAAATCTTGACAGTGTTGAAGCCGGAGGGTCCTCCGAAGTTGTCTCGGCAAACTATGATGAACAACGAAGAATCGAGTACTTCTTGAAAGACCAAATCCCCAGCTGGGTTGCTTTCTCTGGCTACATTGTGCTCGCAGCCATATCCATCAGTGTGGTACCCTTGATCTTCCCCCAACTGAAATGGTACCATGTGCTGGTTGCATATCTGATTGCCCCAGTCTTGGCCTTCTGCAATGCCTACGGCTGTGGCCTCACTGATTGGTCTCTTGCCTCCAACTATGGCAAATTTGCCATCATAATCTTCAGCGCTTGGGTTGGCCTTGACCACGGTGGTGTCATTGCCGGCCTTGCTTCTTGTGGTGTGATGATGAGCATTGTCGCGACCGCTTCTGATCTCATGCAAGACTTCAAGACAGGATACCTCACGCTCTCGTCTCCTCGATCCATGTTCTTCAGCCAAGTCTTTGGCACAGCCATGGGATGCGTCATGTCTCCATTAGTATTCTGGGTTTTCTACAAAGCTTACCCACTTGGTGATCCAGACGGCCCTTATCCTGCACCCTACGGCCTAATGTACCGCGGCATTGCACTCCTTGGAGTTGAGGGTGTCGGTTCCCTCCCCAAAAACTGTGTCGTGCTTGCAGTCTCGTTTTTCGCAGCTGCAGTCGCCATAAACATAATCATCGAGCTGTTACAGCGTTATGAAACCAAGTACAGGATCTATAGGTTCATTCCCAGCCCAATGTGCATGGCGATTCCATTCTACCTGGGTTCCTACTTCGCCATTGACATGTGCGTGGGAAGCTTGATCCTCGTCCTGTGGCGGAGGAAGAACAGGCAAAAGGCCGATGACTTTGGGCCAGCTGTGGCGTCGGGACTCATCTGCGGTGATTCATTGTGGGGCGTTCCGGCTGCTATCCTGGCCATTGCGTCTGTCAAAGCTCCTATCTGCATGAAGTTCCTCTCTGCTTCTGCCAACAACAAAGTTGATTCCCTATTAGGTAGCTAGCTTAATTTGATTACTAGTTAATTAATTTCATGCGACTGTTGTGTGTATATAATATATATGCAGCTGGTAGCTAGCTTGCTGTTTATTTGAATATTATTCCTACCTTTGCTATATAATTTTCGGATTGATGTGGTTGGTAAAAGTTTTTTATCTACTTTGGAAAAAAAAAAGAATTTCTGTTAGTTTTATCATTCTTCTTATCAATTTGTTTCTTTTATTCAGAGTCTCTCCTTTCTCATTTTTTCCTCCCTCCTGTCTCTTCTATTTAAACGGTCACGATTAAATCATGTCAACATTTAATACTAACTTCTATATAGAGATATACAAAGGTGAAAACGAGAGAAGAGTAAAGGAAAAAAGAAGAGATTTGGAGATGAGAGAATTTTAAGCCTGTTTTTTTTTATAGGTATTTTGCTGTGACTAACTTTTGATTCTCTTTTTCACAATAATCGCAATCACTAATTTTCAACAATTAACAGCCCTACTTAAAATGTTGTACTAACTTGTACAAGGAAAAAAACTTACCTAGACTTGTTCATCATGCACAATTTGATAACATGACAAAAATACATACTAAAATATAATGTTTGAGTCAAGTTTAACAATTAGTATTGATAACGGGTGATTCAATAGAGCCCGTTAAAACAAGCATATGCTTTTGTTAACCTTAATGTAACAAGTGGTGTCATGTTACTATTTAGTTTTACAAAATATGTTTGCGTTTGGATTTTTTTTTCACATGTTAACTTAACAAATTATGCTTGTGTTAATTTGTTACGGAAGCAAGTACTATCAATATCCAGTTTTTGAAGTTTATCCTTACTTGATGTGTAAGTGGTTCGTAAATTTAGTTTGTTAAGATCTTGATTTCAAAATGCCAAAAAAACAACACATATTTATTTCATACGACGGTCGAAAAGTAAAAGAGATGTGTGAAACGTAAAAGATGAATATGTAAATAACGTTATCCCTAGAAATCTATGCTAGTTGAGATTTCATCAATTACGAACATGTGAAAAAGTCTCATAGACTGTTGGACTTCTATATAAACAAAAGTTTCAACAACTATGAATTGCCCTCTACAATATCGTTTAAGATTAAAAATTTAGGTTTAATATATTGGTATTACATTAATTTTTCCGACCTACAGTAAAAAGCTTAAGGTTCAAAGAATCTGTGTTTCATTATACAAGTACATGTAATTACCAAGAATATGGAGTCATTTCGGATCAAATTATACATTTATGGTCCAAATTATTTTGTTCCAGGCCAAAATAAATATTTAAATTTATAAATAAATAAAATAAAATAAACAAGAAAGTGAAAAAGTAACCTAAATAGTAAATACTAATTGCCAGCTCCGATAGGCGGTCGCTTCTAAATAATTATATATTTTTTTGTATAAACTTAAAAAGTTTATAAAACCCTCGACGCCTTCCATCACTCGCACGTTTGACTCACTCGCGTTAATCGTATCCAGAGAAACAAAGGCAGCCAAACAAACCCTAAAACAACACCACAAACAAGCCTGCTCGATAGTCGTCGTCGCCGGAATATCAGAGCTATGACAGAGGCATCGGCGAGACGCGGCGGAGGAATGGGTGACGAGAAGCTGGAGTTCGTAACTTCCGACGGGATTGAGCCCATCATGACCTTCGATCAGATGGGTTTAAGGGACGATCTCCTCCGAGGCGTCTACAACTACGGCTTTGAGAAGCCATCCGCCATCCAGCAACGAGCCGTCAGGCCCATCATTGAGGGCCGCGACGTCATCGCCCAGGCCCAGTCCGGTACCGGCAAGACCTCCATGATTGCCCTCACCGTCTGCCAGCTCGTCGACACCTCCTCCCGGGAGTACGTCAGCCCTACTTTTGATTTCTAGTGTTTCCTTTTGTTGTTATTCTGTTTGGTTCTTGGGAAAATTTGAATTTGATTTTGTGCATGTATCTATTGTATATAGGGTTCAGGCTTTGATATTGTCTCCGACGAGGGAATTGGCGGCGCAGACGGAGAAGGTGATATTAGCAATTGGGAATTTCATAAATATACAAGCTCATTCTTGCATTGGAGGCAAAAGCGTGGGTGAGGATATCCGAAAGCTCGAGTATGGCGTTCATGTGGTATCTGGAACTCCTGGCAGAGTCTGTGATATGATCAAAAGAAGAACTCTCCGAACTCGAGCAATCAAATTATTAGTTCTTGTCAGTCTCTTGTTCCTATCTTTTCTGTTTTTAACTGTGAATTTTGGATTTTTCCCTTTCTAGTTTCATTGATCTCTGTTTTGATTTTTTTCGGGACTGGTTCGGGTTTTCAGGATGAATCTGATGAAATGTTGAGCAGAGGATTCAAGGATCAGATTTATGATGTCTACAGATATCTTCCTCCTGAGCTCCAGGTATTTTTTTTTCTTCTTTCTTTCACATATTTATATGTATCACATGTGCTTATGGCAGTCATGTTCCGACTATTGTCCAAATACGTATTCCTTTCTGAAACCGAAATCAATTGTAACATTGTAGGTTTGCTTGATTTCTGCTACACTTCCTCATGAAATTTTGGAGATGACCAACAAGTTTATGACTGAACCTGTAAGGATCCTTGTTAAACGTGATGAGTTGACGTTGGAGGTACGCAATGCTTCTGTTTTGTACTGTTGTACGTATGCTGCCTTTGTGTGCAATGTCAAATACGTAGTAAACTGTGTTTTTGTGATGACAGGGAATCAAGCAATTTTTCGTGGCTGTCGAAAGAGAGGAATGGAAGTTTGATACTCTTTGTGATCTATATGATACCCTTACGATTACACAAGCTGTTATTTTCTGCAACACCAAGCGAAAGGTAAATACTTCTCTGTGATACTAATAACTCAAAGTTTGTTTAGAAAATAGGCCGTAGTTAGGTTATTGATTCCGTGCGGAAGTAGAAATGTAAAATGGGATCACCTATTAGATGCTTGGGTATAGATTATATGTTCTCATATGCATTGTATCCTGATTTAGCATATTTTCATTAGTGCCTACTAGTTATACATCGATACACAGAAGTTTTAGAATTTAATATGTCAGGTGGAATAGAGGCATTTTCCTTTTTGGCACACTGCTATAACGCCTTCCTTTTCTGGTTGACTAACATTTCATTCCCTGGTGCATGACTGTTGGAATTTCACTGGGCAGGTGGACTGGCTCACCGAAAAGATGAGGAGTAATAACTTTACTGTCTCTGCAATGCATGGAGATATGCCTCAGAAGGAAAGAGATGCTATTATGGCTGAGTTTCGTGGTGGTAATACTCGTGTCCTGATCACAACCGATGTTTGGGCCCGGGGCCTTGACGTTCAGCAGGCAAGTTCTTATCCCAATTGTCCAATCATTAGCTAGAATCTATCACCTCTTGACTTTGACTTTATTTGGTTCGAGTTGTTAAACTAATCAAATATAGTGTGTGATTTGAGATCCATTTTACCTGTTCAGTTGGTAGTCAGGACCAAATAAACCTGGTACCCCAATTTAGCCTGAGAAATGTTTACGAATTAGAGAAGGATTTGCTGCTTTCTTAAATTCTTACAAAAAGCCTAAACCTTACTTGAAGAAAAAAGTAAAAAATCTATTGTCCATATATTTACTGCACAGTGATGTGGACACCTGAATCTTAAACTAAAAAGCGGTCCTAGTTGAAGGTTCTATCTAGACGAACAATTTTGAATGGTTTTCAATTATGATCAGTTTTTCTTAAAAAAAGTGTAGCTTTCAGTCCCTTCATATAATGCTTAAACTGCTTTTCTTATCGTGATATTTTTTGCTTTCTTCAGGTTTCTTTGGTTATCAATTATGATCTCCCAAACAATCGAGAGCTATACATTCATCGAATTGGTCGTTCTGGACGTTTTGGGCGCAAGGTTTGTTTTTCTCTTCTCTTACAAACAAAAATTTTGATTCAGAAAGTACTTTTTAAGATATTTTGTTTATTTGTTGATTAATATGGTTTGTTTGTCTCTGTAGGGTGTGGCAATAAACTTTGTGAAAAGTGATGATATTAAGATTCTAAGAGACATTGAGCAGTATTACAGTACGCAGATTGACGAAATGCCGATGAATGTTGCGGATTTGATATGAGAGTTGCTTGCCATCCTGTGTGCAAATGATGTGGATTGGTTTTTCTGGCGTCGAATGACCATTGTGTGCAGCTGTCGTGGCTTTATTTTGCGGTGGATTGTACACCAGCACAAGTTGAAATCATGCTTTGTTTACTTGTGCTGTAACGATAATGTTTTAACTTAGGCGGGTGTGACTCAGATTTAAATTGTGTTTGGTTTTATAATATTTGGTAGCGAATTCAGGTTTTATGTTTCCCAATGTTGTTTGCATCAATGGTTTGATTCACTGAGACAGCTCGAACCACCAGGGAGAATGACAGAATGTCACCGCAAATTCGGTAATTATACGCCGAGTTTTGGCCCCAAATCGTGAAACTGAGTGAAATATAAAGTGTCCATTGGAGGAAAGGGAAAAGGAAAACAAAAGCCAAGCAAAGCAGCTCACCGATATAAAAAGACGGCCACCTCGTCAACACACAATAAGTGGGAAAGTGAAAACGAAAACTGAGAAACGAGAAACAACATAAATACACTTTTCCTAAAGAATCAAATCTACAACTCACGAAAAGAAATAGTCGTGGGCGGGCGGAGCGTGGCTTTTAACTACAAGACGGTGTTAATATGTAGTGCTTTTAGCAGCGAAGTAGCCATTTGTTTTACCAACACTTGGCCACCCGATCGTTGCCCATCTCTGCGTTCTTCTATTAGATTTTGAAGCTTCTGAGGCAGATCATTCTCCACAATCAATTGCTTTGGCCGCGGGTGGTGCTCATAAACAGCCTGCCTCAGACATATTAACAGTATTAACAACAGGAAGAAGCAAATAGATAGCTTCCAGAATAGTAAATGATTCCCCCACCTTTATCAGTTTAAGAAGATTTAGACGGGCAATTGCATCCTGATGGTCCAGTCTCGTGATGAGCAGCGGTGTCAAACCATTTACAGCTAATGTTGTATTAATTCGAGATGATTTCCTGCAAAAAGAAAGAAAAGCAATTGTTATGTCCACAAAGGAAAAAGGGGAGCTTTGTAAAAACATGCTACTTAAAATCATTCAGAAACAAAAGCTTCCAGTCAGACACATGACACATGACA